TTCAAGGAAAGGGAGTAACAGAGAACGAGGCCAGAAAGTTCAGTGGGGATCGCTGTAAGATCACTTTGGTTTTTACCGTGACTGAAATGGGAACCAGCTGGAGGGTTTTGAGCAAATGGGTACTGTGTGAAGATGTAAAAGCAAGGAGACCAAATAGGTGGTTACTGCAGAAATTCATGGGTGGCTTGGTCCTAAGCGATAGCAATCACAATGGTCAGATCTGGGAAATATTTTCAGAGTGGAGCTGAAAAGATTTATTGACAGATATGATGTGAGATACAAAAGAAGAAAAGAAAACGTCAAGGTTGTTAACCTGACCAACTACAATTTAGCTAAGAAACTCAAGATATCACAAGAGAGAAAGCAGGTATTTGTAGCTCTCAATGCTGAGACATGGGGGAGCTGAGCAAGAACCACAAAAGGCAGGCATGCGTGAAGGACTATGGTAACACAAGGTTCTACCTGTTGAACTAAAGGTAACAACAGAGAGGGGAGTAGTTCAGGACACATTCACAATCAAGATGGCTTTTGAAGTGACCTGTGAAGATGAATAAAGATTCTTCAGACAGGCAAAGCAAGAATTAGGCATCTGCAAAGTGGAGATAATACATACAAATACATACAAAAGTCACTTAAACTAGTGCCTAGCAATCCTGAATGCTCAACATATATCAGCCATTATTTACTGAAATAAATTACAAACTCCTCTGTATCACAATGTTTGGTATTTAGAATATCTGAGACTGACTGTGAGTTATTTCCCCCAACAGTCGCAGTAGACTTCAGGGAAATGTTTACTTCTGCTACTATAGCATATATAAAGGGGTTTAGCTTTCTCTGAAAAAAAAAATAGACCTCAACTAGAGAACTAAAGATGAGAAATGATTAATCTGGCATAACCTATCTAGTAATGATGTTAAATCTTGCTATAATGAAGTTTATTTCAACCGAAATAAAAATTATACCATTCGGTTTTAAATTCTATAAAGGTTCTGTATATCAAAATGACTACTAAACAATTTTCATTTTTCAAGAACCTTCTTTGTATTGGTACAGAGTACTCCTTCAAAACTGCTTTTATTTTAACATGTAGTATGACCTAATTCACTGAGCTTCATTAAGTTGTCAGAACCATACCTTAAAGACAAGTGGGGCTTGTACTTGCTTACACAGATAAAATGAATAGCAGGTATTCCCCAATTCTTATTTGGACTTTCATATATTTAAGTTATGCTTGCCTTCATCTGATATCTTATATTAAACCATCTATTGGAGAAAGCAGAACACAACTCAGTATGCACTGTGTCAGCATTAAACTAAAGTCTGACAATTTTCTTTGAATTCCACAGGAAACAGGCACTGCCAAAATCCCTGCTGTAGGTCACATGACTTGTAACCAACTGTTGTCCTTTTCAGATTTATATGCATAAGAGAATAATTGTAAGAGACAGAATTGCCAACTATGCACATTCTTGAGAGTTTATTTTCTAAGAAAGAAAAAAAAGCTCAAGAGAAATGTTCCCTTTTTCCACTACATTTCACAATATATGTAATTTTAAAACATTAATTTGTCAAAGAGTTAAAAATGGGGAAGTTACTTATTTATTTTGGCCATCCTTCAATCCCATTCCAGCGAGCTGGTGAAATCTTTACCACCAGGTATTTTTCTTTAGGTATTCCCAAATGCTTGGTTCAAAGGTGAAATGGCAGAACGTAAGCTGCCCTGAAAAGAACAGCCACATTTTTTAAGTGTGGCGAAGTGGCGAAAAACGAAACTCAACATTAAAACTGGAAGAGATTTGAACCACGCGCAGAAACAAACCAGGAGACCTCATAAGTGGTAACGCATGGAGAAAAAAAAAAAAAGCCATCCTCCAGATGTTGTCATGATGGCCTTTTGAGGCCCAGTAGGAAAGCAACAAGAGCAGGACCACAGCAACCGGACCACTCTTGAAGCCCCTTCTCCTGCCCCACTAATAAGGGACCTAATTCTCAAGTAAATGGCATCTATTCCTTAAAAACTGAGAAGGGGAGGGGCTTGCGATGCTCGGTGAACTGCAATAAACTCCTGCGGAGGTCCGCCTCCCAGCTGCACGCACTGTGACCGAGTCAGAGCAACAAGCAGAGGGAGAGGGCACCCCCATGGCAGGTACAAAACCGCAGGGAGGCGAGAATAAAGAAGTCAGTACCTGTTTGTCTCTCTCGAATACTAGCTGCCGCCATCTTGATTCCCACCATCCACTGCCCAGTGGACAGCAGAGTCCGAGGATGACGTGGCCCACGCAACCGACCCGGAAGCAAAGCTCTGAGGGGCGGGGCCAAAGGAAGTCCTTGAGCCATAGACCCTGCCTCCCCCCCCTTTCTCGTCAATAACTCTCCAAACAACTTGCAAACCTGTGCGGCTTGTTAACACTCGGTAGTGTTTTTCAGCTGTGAAGTAATAGGATTTTTTATTCTATCTAATCGAGCCACCGCTTCTCAAATGGTAGCTGCTTAAAGTTAGCTTTTAAGATAGGAGCGTGGTGTAGTGCTAAGAACATAAATACTGAACCATTTGGTCATTTACAGGTCACTAACCGGAGAATATACTTAAAGGTTTAAAGACCATAGTACTAACGATGGTCCTGGAACAAAGTAGGCAGTCAGATGCTAGCTTCCTCTTGTGTGTCCTCTTTGATCTCCTTTAACTGGAGCCACCTCCCCCCCGCCATTGTCACCTATCAGGCGAAACAGTCCGTCTTTTTGGTGGTGTTTTGCTTACATGGGCAAAGAAGTCAGAAGGGTGCAAATTGGCAAACTGGTATTTCCTCTCATCCCTCTGGTAACTGCAAAATCACAAAACATTACTTTGGGGGGAAAGTGAGTAGGTGGATAGTGCTGGTGTTTTAATGTACACTTGAAGCCTTATGATGACCAAATGTATCCAAAATTGATGATTCATAATTTAATAAATTAAATTGGCTGTAAAAATACACAATGAAAACTCATTTCCATATGTTCAGTAGAGTTCACTGACGACACTGCATTAGCTGTGGAGTATGTTCAGTATAAAGTGCACCAAGTTCTGAAATGAAATTACCCTATGCCTCAAAACTGCTCTGAAAACTTTCAGATTTATGAGGTACCAGTTGTTACTCTGAAAATTATACAAAAAGCATTTCTATAATAAAGCTTTAGCTCCTCTATTTCATGATTTTAAGTCATTTATTTTTACAAAGTTTGAGAGAGAAAAACATTGATTTCTTGTTCCACTTACTCCTGCATTCACTGGTTGATATCTTGTATGCACCCTGATTGAAGATGGAACCCACAATCTTGGCTTATCTCACGATGCTCTAACCAACTGAGCCACCGGGCCAGGGCCAAGACAGGTGGATCTTATTTTAAACACCATTGGGAAACACCCTAGAATTGAACCTATCTTCTTTTTCCTTGTATATTTTTTTATTTTATTTTTTAGCTTTATGCAGGAGTAATTGACAAAATCTGTAAGATATTTAAAGTATACATCGGGATGATTGATATACACATATACTGTGAAAGGATTACACCATCTAGTTATCACAACCATCACTATGAGAACCTTTAAGTTCCACTCTAAGCAAATTTCTATCATATAATGCAGATATCACCTACAGTCACCATGTTATATATTAGACCCTCAGGCCTTATTCATGTTGAAGCTGAAAGCTTGTTTATGAATTGTATGACTTATGTGTGAAATTGTTTAAAAAGTCAAACTCATGGAAACGAGAAAAATAGTTACTAGGGGCCAGCCAGGAGCTGGGGGCAGTGGGAAAGGTTGGTAAAAGTTATGAACCTTTAAGAGTTACATTCTCTCTTATTTTTATAGCTAATTGGCATATTCATTAAAAACTAGAATATTTAGTTTTATTCAGTGCTATTACCAATACTTTGAAGAAGTCACCAATTATCTAGCGTGTTGTAAACAGAAGTGACATTTCCTGCCCTACGGGAAAGCTCTGGTTCACTTGTGTACATGGGATATAAAATACACAGGCTTTCTACCTTCCAACATCTGAGAGTATGTTTTGTTCATCTGAGTACTTGTACTCTGAAAATGCAAATCTATCATGTAACCATTTCAGCTCCAACAGACTTTTCCCTGACTGTATGTCATATTAAAATTCTAAGGAAATGTTTAACATTTACAGACAGTATCAACAGGTGGAATGATAAAAAACTGTCCTGAACAAGGAGTGCAGATAATGTGCTCAATAAATGTACAGAATACTATGCCCTACAGATCAGTGGCAGTAGATAAATAGTCTCTGTATGGCTAAGACTAAGGTATTTGTCACATATTAGAATCAGAAATTATCAAAACAAACTGTTGCTTAAGTATCAGTTAACCTAATTAAATGTACCCTTGTAACCAACTCTACCTACCCATATTTTTGGCCTAAATAATTAATTCTGGTAAACTATTATTTTTCATGAGTGGCTAGTTTTAGCGTGGAACTTAGGAAAGTTCATTCAAGAGAGCTTCCTGGGTGTAAGCCAATGATCTGATATACAGAGAGGAATCTTCTATCTACTTAATATTTTTGGAATCTCAAATCCTGTGAAGTTACCTAATTGAGTTTATATAAATATGACATGTTTAGTAGCATAAACATTTATTTAGAAAATACACTTATTCATTATAAGTGTAATGTTTTTGGCTACATCTGATGTCTTTTAAAAAGGGGGGGGACAGGCTGACACAAACTATCAATTAGTACAACAGCTGGCATAGAGTAGGCATTGGAATATGTTTAGCAATTGAAAAACACTCAAAATGAGAACTTGAACACTGGACTGGTCTCTTCAAAGCAATCCAAATATTCTTAAACTACATGTAATACACATTCAAGCAATCCATTATTCAACACGTTCTTTCTTTTCTTTGTTGTTCAAGTATAGTTTTCTGTCTTTTACTCCCATCCCAACCCACCCCCAGTGCTCTCCACCTCCCTCCCATTTCTAGCCCCCTTATTTTTTGTCCATGTGTCCCTTATACTAGTTACTGTAAATCCCTCAACTTTCTTATGCTTTGTATTGCACTGCTTGAAGCATAAAACTTTGCATTGTATTTCTATAAGCATAACAATTAGTCTAATAGCTTACTGTAAAAGTAACAATGAAGCATGTAATAATGACTATATATAAAAGATTACATATTTATAAATAGTCTTATTCTAATAATTTTCTTATAATGATTGAATGCTAAAGGCAAAGTCACTGAAAAACTTATCTATTATCCTCTCCTTAGCATTCAGCGGTAAGTACAAAAGTTCCACTACCTTTAAAAAATTATAAAAAGTTTTGGTATAAAGAAGAGGCCAAAGTGATTTTTCAATTTAGTAATGGAATGAAGGCTTTTTACTTGATCCAAACAAGGAATGGCTTATTCACAATATGGGAATTAAATATGACAAAATATAACAACAGAAACTAATTTCTAATATTTTAAAGAATATTTACCTTAACTACTAAAATGATCAAGTATAATAGAAAATTGTATATAAGGCTTTCAGATGTTCTCACACCAATAAGTTTAAAAACTGTTTAGAAACAATTCATATAAAAATAACCAAAGACCATTAACAATAGATGCATAATAGGCAAATTTCTGGTTTTCCTTGGTATTGAAAGCAATAGAAAACAAACTTGAAATACATGGCATTTAGATGGAAATATTTAAGAAATACATACACATAATCATAAAAATCTATAGCATTATTCCTTTCTAACACAAACATCAGTAAGAATTGTGCACTGGTTATAACAATGAATGGGAAAAAAAATAATACCAACCATGTGACATAGTAACAGTGCAGTAAACAACTTACAGATTTCTCTGATATGCCCTGATTATACAGATTAATCTAAAAGACAAAAATCACACTAATGGACCATCCTTAAAACCAGAAAACATTTCTCAATATGAACATCTATGCTTCAGTTTAAACCATGAATATCCTAAATGATTATTTATACTACCTTTTCCCTAAGGCCACGTCTATGCATAAAGTGAAATGAGGAGTTGAAATACTGTTTTTAATCGTAGCCAAACCAATCTGGCTTCCTCCTCCCCACCCCTCCACACCTAAAAAGTGTATGAGTGCTCATCAGCTTAATTACCAATGTAAGGGAAATTAATTAAAACTACAAATAACCAGAAAATAGTTTAAATTAAAATTTTTGTTTGTAATGGTATAATGTCTTTTTAAATTTTATAAAATTAGGTAGGTTAAGAAATAATTTATCAACACATTTGAAATAAAAGCTATATGGCAAGATTGAGGTTTATATTAGATATTCACATTTTTGATAATAATAGGTCCTTTAATTACTTTCAGTAATCTAAATTTAATACAAGACAAAGAAGTGCCTCCTTTAATGTTCTTTAAAAATTGAAAGTGAAACTTTAATTGCTGGGTGTGTTAGTAAGTATAACAAAGAAAATTACACTAGGATTATGTTTTCGTTTTTCTTTGGTATTAGGAGATATATTATCAATACCACATCAAACCTATTATTTTTCTTTAAAAATATAGATAACTTAAGAATATTTATTGGGGAGAATGTGAATATGATAATGATAGCTGATATCTGCTCTGTATCAAAAAATGTGGTTATAATTAAGTAATTTATCTCTCATATGATATACATTGGTGGAAAACCCATTTATATGTGATAATAGATTTAGAGACATTAGACTTTTCCAATTCCTTCTTTTTCAAGAGAATATATAAATATAGAAACATGACTATGGGGACATGACTATGGAGACATAATCTTCAAAATGTTATTATATGATTTCCAGTTCCTTTTAGGTGACATTAATATATGTTAATGTTCTTTGACTTTTAGAAACAGTAATAAAGTTTAAAAAAAGGAAAGAATTTATAGAATATACTGAAATACATTAGTTAATTCTGCATCGTGAGATCAGAATGGGTTTTTCATTCTACTTGTATTTCTTTCTACTACATATTTCTACATTGCCTATATAATAACAGATACCTTTCAAGAGCAAAAGAGTTTACAGTAATGCAATGGTATGAGCTTGCTTATCATACATACAACCATTGCAATAATAAATAACTGTCAAATAGCCAAACCTACCACATAATAACCCACAGAGATCATTCACATATCTGAAACAATTAAGGATCAGACATGAAAAAAAAATCCTGTGATAAAGCCAAGGCTTTAAAGAAGACTTTTAAAAATATTTTCAACTATATTTTATCCACCTCAGAAGTGTTTTTAAGACTATGGAATGTACACAGATTGTAGAATATTTGTGCAGTTCTGCTTTTTAGGTAATACTTTCCATTAGGCTTAATCTAATTGCAGTGTGGGTCTATTTTAATACAAATCGGTAATCTAAAAAAATTTTGTTTTTTAAGTTTAGCAACCAATTTAGTCCCATCCTAGAAAAGGATACATGTAACACATATCCCAGAATATATGCTGTTGACTTATATAACAGGATTTATCAATTAGCTTTCCTATTTAATGCTTTAAAAGAAAACAATAATTTGAAAATTGCAGAAAGCTAGCAAAAAGTCATTGTAGCATCCTATTGCTAATTCAAATTTACAAAACAGTGAATACAAGTTTTTTTATATATATATATACCATGCTACTATACTTGAAGAAAGTCTGTACAGTCATTTAAAAAGTGATTACATTGAAGGTTATGAAGCATGCATACTAACAAAATAGAAAAATATCAACTTTGGTACAAAATTTTTTAGCTTAAATGGCCAAAATATTCCTTTATGTTCACATCAACAATTTTACTGAACTAAGAAGCCGACAAGTATGTTCAACAGTGATGATGGACAGATTTTTGAAATAAAAGTATTCATAGCAGCTTTTAAAGAAGTATCTCTTTTTCAAAACATCTTAATGTTCAATGTAATGAGAACTTTCTTCCTTTTCTAGTCGTAGAGTGTTTCTTATGGCAAAGTCCATTTTTTCTTGAAATTCTTTATATGTCTCGGTAATTGGAAGAGCTAAACAGTTATTACACTTGTTTCCAACAGGAAAATCTATATGAAGGCACTCAACTGAAGGAGTGGGCTTAAATCCTGCAGGTGGAATGGAATTGCAACCAGTTGCAAAAACAAGAATGTCTTCCATTGTTGTCGCAGATTTACCATCTGAAAGGTTTAACAAGAAGAGAAAAAAAAGAAAAATAAATTCAGTACATATTAAATACCATCATAGACTCTTCCCCAACTCAACTGGGAATGCTGAAAGCCAGAGACTGCCACATTTATATTGGGCAAACTAAGTCACTAAGTCAAATGTAGTAACAGGAAAACAGCACATTCAATAAATATTTATTTGAATCTCAAAGTAGAACTCACCAAATCACTTAGTTGAACTACCCATTTTATATTTGAATGCCTTCTCTAATATAAAATTACCATAGAGTTCAAGAGTTTCAGTGGGTAATGAAACTCCATCTTTTTGGAATATGATGCTAAAAACAATTTTAAACTTCTAGAGCATCACTATTTGATAAACTAGTTCAGCGATTTTTAAGCTTTTTCATCTCATTGCAACGCATAAACTAATCCATTATTAAAAGTTTGCAATACACCAAAAATACATATTTTTTGCCAATCTGACAAAAAATTAGGTATAATTTTGATTCATTCACGCTGGACAGCTATTGTTTTGGCTGTTACCATTTTTTAATTTGACAATCTAAGGGAAAAGAGGTCTGTGCCCCTGACTAAATAGTCAGGGACTGCATGTTTTAAGAACTCGTGCGCATACCCGTGTGCTTCTTTAGGCATACCAGTTAAAAAGTGCTGAGTTCAACAAATGCAGAGAAAAACTAAATGGTGCAAAACAATAAGAAAAAACAACTAGCTAAAAGAAGATTCAAATAAAAGTTAATTTTTTCCACTCTATTAAAGGTTTTCACATGACTAATGCTCAATGAAATATACCACTCACTATCATAGCCCTATCCAATGGATGAAGAATAATTCAATTTAATTTAAGTATGAAAAAGATGAAATAGACAATTAGCTTTTAGACTATTCTATGCAGTAGCAACCATTCACATATTTAAAATACCTAGGAAGAATGCCTTTTACCTCAAATTATACACAGGAAAACTTGACTCTGTAACCTCTCCTTGGCACTTTCAACGCAGTCATATAAACTTGTTTTTAAATGTTTTATAAATATGAAGTTAGCTAATGAAAAGTTCTTATTATCAAAAACAAAAACTCAAAGAAATAAACTAATATCCTGAAACAGACATTCTAAAACAGATGAAAATTAAACATCCACATACCCTCAACAGCCTGTAAGTAACTGTTCCAAAAGCCCAAAGCCTGTGCATCCGATAATGTGTGTACCGTAAAAAGGTCACTAAGGACTTTGGCTGTAAGTCTCTCAGGTTTATGACAAAAGATGCTATAAAATGCTTCCGGATAAGTCTGAATTTTCTCCAAAACACCAAGAGTTTTCAGACCCTGCTTAAAACTTAAGAGAAGAAAAGTAATGAGCAAACATTCACGCATGTGTTTGGTATTAATAAAGAATTAACATTTCTAGCTAATTTACCACCACATATATAGAGAAGTGAGGAAAAAGATAAATTATAGATATACTATATGTGCTATGATACTTTTAAATCAATAACAAGCAAACATTTTAATATAAAATGAAAATTTTATATGTCTACATTATCTGGCTGTATAGTTTTAAAATTAAGCTAACAATTTTTAAAAGAAGAAAAACGTAGACATCATTTTCCTCGTGAAGTATTTCATCAAAGCTATTTAGTATAAAAATGCAGCTGCCTAGAGACTGCAGATTACAAACTGTAGCTACATAAAAATTTAAAACTTATGTATGGCTAAAAATAAGGAAACAAAGTGGGAAAATATTTATAATATGCATGACAAAACTAATTTCTAAATACACACACACAAAAATCATTTTTCTAAAAGAACAATCCAATAGGAAATGTGCAGAATGTACAATTAATACAAGTAACAAATTACTTTTTAAAAATGTACATTCTCACTGGTAAGAAAAGCATGAAATTGGTATCAGACTGGCTAGGCCCTATCTGTGGCTCCGGACCTCCTATCACACAGGTACCCTGCCACCCCGATTCATCTCCCTCCCTGGCTCTTCCTCAAGAGTACATAAATGTGCTCATCTTTCCATCTTTGAATAAGGAAAAAAAATCCAGTTAATTCCACCTGTTTTCCTTCATTATAGCCTACCCGAAAGACATCTCTACATTCACTGTCTCCATTTCTTCATTTCCATCTACCTTTCCTCCACTTTTGTCTACATCTCAGGAAAAACTGCCCTATGTTTCTGAATGCTCTTCCTCTTTGGCACCAGTCTCCTAGTTTTCTTCTTTTTCTCTGACCATACCTTCTCAGTATCTTACAAAAAGCTTTTTTCTTTACTTTGCCTTAAATGTTGTTGTTTGTCCCTCATGGATCTGTAACAAAGCCAGTTTCTCTCATGACCGCATTTAGCAGGTATAGGCTCATCACTATAAAATCTATTCTCTCCTGCCCAGAAATATATCCAACTGAGTACTGGGTACCACTTATCCCAACCACTTTATTATATCCAAAAGACAGCTATTCCTTACTACCAAAATCTGACCCATAAGAAACAGTAGATGCTTCTGTTTCATCTATCAAATTACACAGCTAAATCTGAAAGTCAATCTTAACTTCTCTCTCTTCCATTCCTAATTACCAAGTCCTAAGAATTCCTTTTTCTGAAATTCCTTTTATATGTTATACAAGGTAAATAAATCTCCAAGTTCATCTTCCATCCTATAGCCACAGGTATGTGCCAGAAATAAACCCAATACTGTCGTTCATCCTGAGGTGCGTGCCCCCCCCCCAAAGATATTTCCACATCCTAGTCCCTGGGACAGGTGAATGTGGCATTATTAGGAGAAACAGTTTAAGCAGATATAATTAAGGATCTTGAGATCGTCCTGTCTAGATTATACGTTCTGGCCCTAAATCCAATGACAAGTATCTTTTATAAGAGACACACAGACATGAAAGTCCATGTGATACAGATTCAAAGAACTGGAGTTATACAACCATAAGCCCACAGAAGCTGGGAGTGGCAAAGAACAGACTGTCTTCCTAAATTCTCAGAAAGAGTGTAGCCCTGCCAGCACTGGGATTTGGACTTTAAGTCTCCACAACTCTGGGAGAATAAATTTCAGTTGTTTTAAGCCACTCGGTTTGTGATAATTTTTTTACAGCAGCCACAGAAAATCGATATACACGCTTGTCCATGAAACAAAGTCCAAACTCCTTACCATGGCTTCCAAGACCCTACAGAGTCCCGCCCTTGTGTTTCTTTCTTATTTTTAACATTCACCTGCCATTTACCTTTGAAGCAAATTTCAGCCAAACCTAAGTTCACCCTTAACATTTTTTTAAAATTAGGAAATATTTCAAGCTTACATAAAAATCCAAGGAGTAATAGAAAACCAAAAACTGTCAGTAGAATTTAAAAAATAATTAACATTTTATGTTTGCTCAGATTATTTTTATGAAACATAGTCTATTTACTCAACTAAATCCTGCCCCCTTATCACTTTCCCTTCTCTCCCTCTACAAAGGAAACTATTTGAAATTGATATTTGACTAATATCCTAAATTTTTTACTATAGTATGCATTTCATTTTCATTTCATTATATATGTATCTCCAAATAACAGCACTGCTCTGTTTTAAAACATCTATAAGTGATCAACACTGTATTAATTTCTTTGCAACTTGCATTTTGGAGTGTAATTTTTCACTTGTAACTATCACTATATTAGGAAACTATTTTGATAAGCTGTATTTTTGGCAACTGTACTGCATTTTAAAAATTATTTTTTTACTTGGTTTCAGAGAGGGAGAGGGAGAAAAGAAATCTCAATTTGCTGTTCCGCTTATTTATACATTTATTGGTTGGTTGCTTCATGTATGTGCCCTAACTGGAAGTTGAACCTGCAGCCTTGGAGTATCAGGAGGATCCTGTAATCAATCGAGCTACTTGGCCAGGACCAATTGTACTGCTTTTAAAAAATGTTTTTTGTGTGGCTCAGTGGATTGAGTGTTGGCCTGTGAACCAAAGGGTGGCTGATTCAATTCCCAGTTGGGACACATGCCTGGGCTGCAGGACAGGTCCCCAGTAGGGGAATGTAAGACACAACTACACATTGATCTTTCTCTCCCTCTCTTCCCCTCTCTCTAAAAATAAATAAAATTTTTAAAAATTAAAATAAGTTTTTATTTCTTCCGGCCAACTTTTGTATTTATTTTTTTTAATTCCAATTTACCTTCTATTTTAAGTCCCATGAAATCTTCTTTAAAAAGTTACCTCTTAAAATTTTAATAGGCATATTTAAAATATTAAGCAAATTGGTGTACAGCAGTTGCCCCTTATCCATAAGAGATATTTCCCAAGACCCCTAGTAGATGCCTGAAACTATGGATAGTAACAAACTCTAATATAGTATATTTTCTCCTGTACACACATAACCTTTCTCCTTAGTAATCAACTTCAACTCTGTGGGAAATGTGGCAGCACTGTCTTCAAGGGAAGACATAGCCTCTCCAGTAATCTTCATATTTTTTAGTCCAAACCTGTTCCTGAACCTGTGTAACCATCCCTTACTTGCAGTAAATGGCGAAGTGTCACTTGTTACAGGGATCCCTTGCTGAAGTCTTCATATAAGCTCAATGTGTCTGATGCAATGTGTTGCCATCATTCAGAATAAATTTTCTGTTCATGTCTTCCACCCACAATTCATTTCCTTTTCCATCTTAACTAAGCACTTTTTATACACTGTGGCTGTAACTTTTACCATTTGAAGTGTGACAGCAAAACTAGCATAAATTTCTTTTTCCTTCTTCACAATTTCACAGATAGAAGATCTGTTCTCACTGTAGATGTTAGCAATTTTAGCTGATTTTTAAAAAATTCCTTACTAAGGTTGAGAATGTTCAATTTTTCACATTAAGGAAGCACTTTATGGCTTCTCTTTGCCATTATTAAGTATCCAAATGGCCTGACTATAAGACTCTTAAATAGTATAATTTTCTTATGAATAGAATTACTTATATTATGACTACTACACAGAATAGCCTAATGCAATATAAATTTTGATGTGGTTATTTTAAAATTTGAAGTGCATCTCTTAATGAGATAGCTGTACACATGTGTATTTCCCCAAATAATTTATGTATCTAAAGATGGATTTTTCTGATTGCTAAGGCAGAATTCATTTATTTCTTCTTTTTTATTTTGTTTTCATAGATATGGCTAATCTAGATTTCAGAGAGGGCTTCTATATCTATATAACTGGTGTTTAAAATAAAAACTGAATGATAAATAGGATTTAGGCAGATCAACATGAAGAGGGCAAGAGAAAAACTGAAGAATAATCTCACCTGTGTAAAAGATAAGAAATCATATAGTAAAAACCAATCTTTTAAATATACATCTGAGCACATAAGAAAAGTCATATAAATGTAAGAAATAACAAGGAAACCAAAATTTTGCCAAATTCCCTAGCTGTCATATGAAATCAGAACCCTCAGTTTGCACAAACTTGGCTTTGGCATCCTGCAGGGACCCCTAACTGAAGCAAAGAAATTAACAAAGTAATTGGTTTTAGGATTCAAAGCTCTTGTAAGTACAGTGCCAGGCAAAAGCAAATAATATAGCAGCTGTGTTGAGAAATCTCTATAGCCTGGGTCAAATGGGAAGGCTAAAGACACATTGCTAAAGAAGAGGGTTTCCCAATAGAAGACAACATGAAAACACCCATTTATATCCAAGGAAGTACTGAGGATAGCAGTAGAAAAACAAATGGAATGAGATAAAGTATTAGCACAGTAATTTTATTAAAGCTAAAGCAACGGAAAAAAATGAATCAAATAACACTTCTGTGTTGAAAAATGATTACAGACTTCATTTCTGTATAATGGAATAGACACACATCTATTCTTTCTGCTAAGTACAGTAAAAACCCTGGACATTATATATAAAACAAACAGAAGAAGACTGAAAAGTGGGGAGATGATGGCAGACCAGGCGGGTATCTCAGAACCCAAGGAACACCACAGCAGAACAAAGAGGAAATCTACACATTTTTACATGAAGTAAAACTAAGAGTTTGTCACCAGCAGACCTAAAATAATGTCTATAGGAATTTTTTGAAACAGAAAGCAAATTATTAAAGGCATATTCTTAGAATATTAGGAACAAAGAAATAAATAAAACTAAAAGCATGTATGTTTCCTTCCCTTGTTTTCTAAACTATGTTTGATAAGTCAAAAATTATAGCATTTTATAATGTGTTTTACAATGTATGTGGAAGAAATATTTAGGAAATTACATTATAAACAGGAAAAGGCAAAAAGACTTAGACGTGAATCTTACAAAATGTTGACACCAGTAGACTGTTATCTTTTTAAAAACACCGTACAAAGATATACACTCAACAGCATTATGATAAAAATGGTATTAAAAAATTTAACCCAGCCCTGGCTGGCGTAGCTCAGTGGATTGAGCACGGGCCTGCGAACCAGAGTATCGCGGTTCGATTCCCGGTCAGGGCACATGCCTGGGTTGCAGGCCAGTTCCCGGCAGGGAACGCATGAGAGGCAACCACACATTGATGTTTCTCTCCCACTCTTTCTCCTTCCCTTCCCCTCTCTCGAAAAATAAATAAAGAAAATATTAAAAAAAAATTTTAACCCACAGGAAGACATGAAAGTAGAAACCAAAATGATCATGGAAATGAAAACTATTAAAGGAGCTATATAACAGTGTTATTTTAAATTGCAGTATTAAAAGTATATTGGGAATTATATGAAGCTTATAATGTCATATTTAATTTGTAAGAGTGCTAGGAAACATCCCCAATGTACATCTATAGGAAACTGGTAGAAAACAAAACAAAATATACAGTAATATACCCAAAGAACAGAGTTCCGCAGAGCTCTAACACAGAATGAGGATTATGCCTGTTCACTACCATGGAGTGACCTCCAGAATATATTGGCAAGTAAAACATGAGCAGAAAAAAAAGGGGGTGGATGGCATCTCATCTAATAAGATACATGAGGATATGTATACTCATATATTTATTTGCTATTACTGAAAAAAAAGGAAGGATAAACATTAAAAGCCACTGAAATGACTACTTCATAAAGGTATGGAAGGTAGATATGATAAAGATGAAACCTATACTTCTTTGACTACAATTTGTACCACAGAGCTGAGTTCTTTCAACACACTTTCACTAAGACCTGACATTGGAACTACCCAAATATTTTACATAACTTTTTTGAAAAATCAAATTTTAACCGAAACCACTAAAAATAAAAAATAAATGAAAGAAGTATACTCAACTAGTAGTGTAACAACACAGAAAAGAACTATTACAAATGACTTTAGAACACAGTAATTTGACAGTAACAGCTTAGAACAAAACAAAACAAAAATTTAACCTATTTTTAATCATTTGTTACTGGTAATAAGGCTGGTATTGTTATTCTAAGACTATTATTTATAAAATGTGAAATAAGTCAAGTGAGTAATTATTTCATATTCTAATTCTTCAGTGCCTTTGACAACTGGGATTCTCAACATGGGACAAAGAAAAAGTTAAACATCTGTAGTAGTGAATTGGAAGTATCAGTATAAACTCATGAGATATTTTATTTAAAAAAAAAAAAACAAAAAACACCTGCATTTGCTATTTTTGGTCCACTGAAAGGGCCTAGAAACAATGACCAACCTGGCAAAAATGATCATCCTTGGCATCAAAACTGTAGTTTTAATCTATCATTTCCCATTCAAAGAAACAAAGGTCCTTTAAGTCAGAATGACAAAATGAGACTGAAACACATTATTGTACAATACAGCAAGATAGCTATTAAGACCATTAAGGGTCAACATTAAAAAAAACAACAACACCTCAAAGAAACATACAAAGGCTTATACTGGACAAAAATGAGACAATTTTAACTCCAGTAAAGATAGTAACTGTAACAGTTTCAACACAAATATATTTAAATCTATGGATTAATGATACTGAAAAAAAAAAAAAAAAACCTGATCAGTTTTGAGATAATATGATGTCTGATAACAGCTTGAGAATAATACTGGAGTTGATAACAAGAGTATGACAGATGAACAAGACTGGCCATAGGTTAGTTGATAATTGTTAAGATAATGGTATTACATAGTATACCATTCTGCCTACTTTCATGTTTTATTTTTTTATTATTTTAAAAAAGTATGATGACATACATAAGTTTTCAAGTTTCTTTAAAGTGTTACTGGAACAAAAAGTTAGAGGACCAGTGTTCTAAGTTAAAAAGCAAGAATCACATTGACCTTGTTAATCAAAGAACACTCAGTACCTTTATTACTCAGCAGACTACAGTGCTCAATACAGGCTGTAGTTATTAAATGAGTAGAGATGAACCAGTTAGCTTACATGGTTAAGAATTTAAAAAATTTTTTTACTTATAAAAATAATTATAAATTGAGACAAGGATTACTTTTCTTATATAAGCACCATACATTTATGTAAGTTTAGAATGGTCAGAACAGTAATCATCCTTAACAGATTAATTTTAAAGCATTATTTTAAAATAACATTGAATTTTTTAAATCAAATATATATTGCATTTTAAGACAGTTAATGTAATTTGAGAGAATCTTTCACATATAAATAACTTACCTTTCGAAAGGTGCTTGCACTCTCTTAATTACATGGTAAGCAAGTATGTCTTTTGCCAGCAAGTATTTATCACTTAATGAAGTTATAAGTCTTAGACATCCAATAAACTCTAGGTAATTATAGCACTCATTCATAACTGAGTTTAAGTCCGCTATATTTGTTGCAGTATTTATCTGTAATGAAGAAGAAAATATACCCAGTTTCCCCTTTCACTTATAAATGTTATTTACATTTCAAGTGACACATTGAATAATTCAAGTGACAATTCTTGAGTATAACAAAGTGGAGTGAAAGTATATCAATTAATTATTTTTTAGAATAAATATCTGACAATTTAATAAACATGGTATATTTTTGCCTTCAAGAAACGTTGAATATAATGCCACTTTAATAAAGGCAATCACTTGTATAGAAGGCAATAACTGACATAAAACAGTTACATAGCACTAGGGATGTAAGAGAGATAACCTGAGATTTCACAAAAGAGAAAGAATTACCAGCTGACTTAGATGAATACAATCAAGAGTTTTTCAGTGAATAGCATAAACAAAGAAATACTTGACCATTTATGTCCCAGACACTTTCATGTAGATTAGCTCTTGAACAAAGTTACAGAGAAAAAAAGAAAAAAATAGGAAGCAGTCAATATTCTACTAAATGGAAAATTTCCTACTATTTCTTCTTTCCACATTACTCTTCTCCCAAGATTTACATGCTTCACTCGTTCATTTCATATCTCTGTGGAAGTCTCCAAAGGTTTTCCTAACTACCTGGTTCAAAATAGTACCTTCACACTTTGAGGGTATATATTGCCTCATCTTCTCAAACCCACCACCCAGAGTTTTAGCTGGGCACACAGCCAAACTTTCCTTGCAGCCAGATGCAGCTATATGTAACTAAGGGTATCCAATGGCATGAGAGTAGAAAACGTGTCACACATCACTGTACTCCCACTTTCTCCCTTAAGAGCAAGTTTCAGCCATGTAGATGCAGACATCGTCCTAAGTGAATATATACATGAGAGGACAGAATTCAATTCCCTGGATGACTAGGTGTATCATAACTCTACCTCAGAAATAGGAGTCATTTATGTAAAAACCAGGTAGCATTGTGTTTTGTGGGCCATATGATATTTGCCACAACTACTCAACTCTGCCACTGCAGTGGGAAACCAGTCATCGACATATAACAAATGGGTGTGTTGTGTTTCAATAAAACTTTATTTACAAAAAGTCAGCAGGCCAACTTGACTTACAGCCATAGTTTGCCAACACCTACCCCTAAAATCTAGACAACAGATTTTAGAGAAAAATAAATACCCACCATTGTTTTTGAGACACTGGTTTTCTTTTGGAATTCTTTGTTTTAGCAGGTTAGCCTAAGCTCTAACTTATTATACCCCAGCATTATCTAACTCCTTTCTCACAGTCTTTTTTATTTTTATAACATATTTTACTAAATAATAGTATAGTTGACCCTCAAACTGCACAGGTGTGAGCTGTAAGGGCTCACTTATGTGCAGATTTTTTTTCAGTAAAACTGTCTCTCTGCATCCATGGGTTTGCATCAGTAAATGCGGTGGGCTGACTGTATGCATTGTTCTTTGTCATTTTATATAAGATTTTGGCATCTGCAGAGGCAGGGAGGGAGGGAGTCCTAAAACCAATCCCCAGCAGATACCGGGGGACAGTTATAATTTTGGAGGAATAAAAAATTATATGTGGATTTTCTGACTGTGTGGTATTAGGTTCCCTTAACCCCCATGTTTTTCAAGGTCAACTATGTATTACATATTTATTTGATTATCTTCTGTTTTCCCTCTAAAAGGTAAATTTCAAAAAGGCAGGGACTTAGGTTCACTACTCTATATTCAGTGATAAAGCAGTCCTGGGTATGTAGTATTTGTTGACTAAATAAACATTTAATAAGAACAGTCTAGGAGCTCAAAGATACAGGTCTGGGAATCATTCAGAAAGGTTATGGGTGAGCAGAAGCTTTCAAATACTATAGAATGAGGACTGTTAAGACAATCCCCCCAAAATAGGTAAGTTTCAGGGACAGGAAGAAGCATTTAAAAAGACAGAAGAATTAAGAAGTAGAAGGGAGTGCAATATTAAAGAAAACAGTAAGGAGGAATTTGAAGACAGTGGTGATTGCAGAAGTGGGAGAAGATAAGGGAATCAGAAAAAAAAAAAAAGGCAAGACATTTAAATGTGAAGATCTGGATCCCTGGATTATGAACTAGCTAATAACTTGGGACAGTGATAGAGGGATCAGAGGAAGAAGTTATGAAATCCACAGGAAAGACGAAGTGAGGATAAGGTCAGATTTAACAAAATTAAGTCCAACTTCATTGCCCAAGTCACACAGCCTACAGTTTCTAATTATTTCAATCTAAACTCTGACTTGTAAGCATTTGTTTTTAACCAGTAAACTATACTGCTTTATTAATTGAGACAATGAATGGATAGAGTAGGCTTAAGTAAGAAAGAGGTTAAGGGAAAAAAAATTGAATAGCTTTTATTACCTCAATTAGCTTCCAAATCAGTAACATGTAACCAATTATACTTATATAGCATCATGATAACTAAATTGAATTTGTATATGTAACATGTGCAATACAGGGTTCAAAAAATGTCAGTGTTTTTAGTTGGGAACAGTGAGTCTCCCCACTTGTTTCCATATTGAAAAAAAATTCATCCTGGTCTTTCTGTCAACCTAGCACCTATATTTCCCTGTAGGAGGAAGTAGAAGTTTTCTGACTGGTAAAATCGCTCTCTTCAGATCCACTGCCTGCCTCCAGAAAGCATACTTTCATCTACTCTATAGCATGCAACAAGGAACCTGCCTTCCATCGTCTCTGAAAGGGGAGATAAATCCATCTTGTTCCGAGAAATGTTAGCAAGCCATTCTGAGTACAGATTGAAGTCACATTATCCAATTGGTTTTATCAAAATTAAACCAGGCATTTTAATCCCTATCTGTCTTACCTTTACATGTATCTTAACTTGTTGTGAACTCTGCTGGTAAATAAGAATACTGACAGCCCTTAACTACTCTGAAGTATTATTATTCTATTGTAGATGCATTACTTATATTCAAATATACTTAGAATGTAGTCTACATTTTATTTATTTTTAAGATTTTATCTTAGAGAGAAGGGATGGGAGGCAGAAAGTGAAGGAGAAAAACATCAATGTGAGAAACATTGATCGGGTGCCTCTTGTACACAACCCCGATCAGGACTGAACCTGCAACCTAGGCATGTGCTGCTATCTTTCACTTTCAGGATGACACCCAACCAATCGAGCCACACCATTCAGGACAAATGTAGACTAAATTTTAGTAAACATGCATAATCCTTACCCTAATTATAATCTGTGCCACATCAAAGTCCGAAACATCATCCAAAATTGGTAAGGTATTTTCTGGTCCATAAACAAGGCAGTTAAACAAAGTTTTAGAAAAGAAACCAGGTGAAGGACCACCATGAACCAAAGAAATGGCAAGCATTTTGCCAGCTTCATAGTAAAGATTCTCTGTCAGAGCTGTAGATAAATAAACATTAAATATACTTCTTTAATTGTTATAAGATAACCATCATATATAATGAACACATAATAAAAATTTTTTAAATCTAAGCATTAGATAAATGAAAATTCACAGAAGCTATGACATGTATATTTTAGATACTTAACAAAATAAACAAAAAATATTTTTTCTGAATATAAAGTAACAACATATAGTACTAAAAATACACAGAAACTCTTAAAAAATCGCCTAAATTCCCACCACTATAATAACCACTGTACATACTTTGGCATATTTGTGTCCTGTGTTTATATGAATATATACATAATTTGACTTAATTTACTATAAATTTTTTATATTATTCAAAATGATCGAATTTACAGTTAAAGAGTGCATGAAGACTAAGTTATAAATGTGCAGCAATATAAACCATCCCTTTAATTATTGGTACCCTCACTGAGTACCATTATATAATCAACATCTATTTACATATTCTTGTTTATGTATCTTTGATTATTTGATTAGGATAAATTAGGATACAGTATTAGTGGTTCAAAGGATATGAATGTTTTTAAAGTTGTTGCTATATAGTGCTAAATTATCTTCCAAAATGATACAAATTTAATCCCAATGCTATATGCTATCTTACCATATCATAGCTTTCAACATTTTTCGATTGTTATTTAAAATATTTTAGCTACTTGAAGTCAAAAGGATATCACATTTTCTTTTATTGTTTCTAAAAATTGTTCAAAGCAACTTTTTAGTAATCAACAATACTTGAAATAATTATAAAATTTCTCAACAATAACTTTATAAGCTATGTATTAGTCACATTTTACAGCAGAAGAAACTAAGATCCAGAGAGGCTATGTAATTACCATAATCTAAGGATATAAAGCTACTTAAGTGATGTGTATAAAATGAATTCAGATTTTGTGCCTTAAATTCATGTACTCTCCACTGAACCACAACTGCCTTGACTTAACACTACTGATTACTTAGAAGTTTTCTTTTTTTAAAGGGAGTTTAGAATTAAACTATGTGTACTATATATAGTACAAATGACTCTTGGTGGTTTCTGAATTATTTCAGTGACGCTTCAGGCAACGGTGAAGAAGTTCTAGTAAATATACAGGAAGAAATTCAAATGTAATGAAATAAGTCTTCCCACTTTCAAATTTCCTATTACAGCAAAAGTGGTATAGAAGCTCCTAAAAAAGAATGCTAGAATTAACAAGTGTTTTGAGATGCCTGTTTTAATCACATTAACTTCTCACTAGATGTAAAGACAGAATATTACATACATAATAAATTGCACAAAGAAAATTCTTGAAAGCAAAAGTACATTTAAAAATCTGTTACATGTGGCCCTGGCTGGTGTGGCTCAGTGGATTAGGTGCCGGCCTGTGAACCAAAGGGTCACTGGTTCAATACCCAGTCGGGGCACATGCCTGAGTTGTGGGCTAGGTTTCCAGTAAGTGCATGTAAGAGGCAACCACAAACTGATGTTTCTCTCCTTCTCTTTCTCCCTGCCTTCCCCTCTTTTTAAAAATAAATAAATAAAATCTTTTAAAAATCTGTTACATGTGGATCAGAAAATTGTTATAAAAATGCTAGGTTGTGAAGAAACATGCCAGCTGTGAATCCCAAGGATCTGAACAGAAGGGCTTAGACAATCATCCATCCCATTTGGCCACTCTATTCAAATAAAAGTAGAGCAAGTATAAATACATTTTTAAGAAGTTACAGTTAATTACGCAATCACTTCAGATAGGATACTGCTATAAAGAAATTAAGAACATTCTTAAAAACAATGCTTTACTCCAAAATTTGCTTTTAAAAATATCACTCTCCCCCCCTTTCTGTGATTCCATCAGTATTTTATTAACAAAGGAAAGTATACATTCCAACCAGCTATCAATTCATGCACTATCAATTCTAACCAACTGTCTCTTTCTTCACACAAGTGTAGTCAGTTTAATTCAATAAGAAATAATTACCTTGAGAATTTAGGGACAAGTTCTTTGACAAGGACCCTTCAAACAATGGTGAGTTCTCAAGATGGTGCATTAAAAGACTTAGAAATTCTTGCTTTGATCCAGAATGCTCAATTCCAAAATTATCATTCTCATTAACATAAACTACTTCAATTGTGTATAAAGGATTAAACTTCTGATTTCTGAATCCATTTAAGGCACTATTCCAGATGTCGGCTTTGTTGACATAGAATCTTTTAGTTTTTTTACAAATTTGAAACCCTAACTCTGTTATTATTGTTGAAATGTCTCTTCTAAATTTGTTGCCTTGCCTGTAAAACACGAGTTTAAACACAGAAATAAGGTCTCTAAAATACTTTATGTGACAGTTATACATCAAATTTTTAAAAATAATAATAAAAAAGAAGTTCTTTTCCAACTCCCACCCAAAAGCAGACAACGGCTGCCACTGGAACCCAAAACAGTTATTTGATAACCTTAGTTCAAACTTCTTGATTCTCTCTCCCTAATCTTCTACCAAATTAAAATCAACTAATGTCATAAATGATTTGAGAATGTTGATAGATAATTATTTCAAATTTGATCAGTTTAGTAGAGTCAGAAGCTCAAACTGTCACCTTCATAGCCAATGGCTACAAATTACACTTAAATGTATCTTATTTCATGTTCACTAGATCCTTTAATAATAGAGCAAATGTAGTCTCTGCTTACTATACAAGATAACTATAGTTTTAAGAAATTATATTTTAATCATAAAATAGAACTAATATTATAAGCAGAATGCACAGCCCTTTACGTTAGTACTTTTTAGACTATACCAGTAATTCTCAAAGTGTGATCCCAGATCAGCCACAGTGGCAAAAGCATCTGGAAACTTGTTAGAAATGCAAATTCTTAAGCCCCACAGCAGATAAATGGAATCAGAACCTCTCTGAGCATGAGGCCCCACCACCAGCCTTAATAAGACTTCCTGGTGACTATACAGACTAACTCAATTGCTCCCTACTTCAGTTGCTCCATCTGTACCTGGAATTAATGTACTCAAACTGATCCTGTTTGGGGCAATATCATCTTTGGATTATCTTTCCACATCAAGTATAAATTTTTCCCCTCCTAAGATACTATAATGCCCCACTGTGGGCCAGGTTTTATTTTTTCTTTCTTCTAATTCCAGTTTGGTCCTAGGAAGAGGTTAGTGTAGCTTCCACCTAATTGGCTGCCATCTTGGATCCTCCTGTTTTTTCCTTCACACAACCCCCTTTTCATTAATCCAGGTTGAGCAAAACCAAAATCTTTTGGTAGATAATCCTTCAGAAATATACCTTTTTGTAGCAACTCAATTCCTTGCTCCTGCCAGAATGGGAATACTAATGTTATTCTAGAATATGATGAAATATTAGAGCAGAAGCATGGAATCAAACTTCCCTGCTATAGTATCTTTAGAAACTTAAATATTAAAATTATTTAAAATAATGTAAACATCTTTTTGACACTAATATAGAAAAATATTTATAACAAAATTTCAGTTAATATAGTGGTACCTTAAAACAGCAATTCTTCACTTTTTGAATAGTATTCCACTTCTAACTGCAAATCTAGTTATCAAATATTTTCACAGAAATCCTCTTGTCCTGCTCTGGCCAGTGTGGCTCAGTTAGTTAGAGCATTATCACATAAACTCGGAGTATCAAACTCATTTTCACTAGGGGCCACACCAGCCCTGCAGTTGCCTTCAAAGGGCTGAAATAATTTTAGGACTGTATAAATGTAACTAATCCTTAACTGTTAAGGAGTTGAAATTACATTTGGCCATTCAAAGGCAATCATGAGGCTGATGTGGCCCCCAGCGAAAATGAGTTTGACACCTTGCCATAAACTAAAAAGCCGCAGGTTTGGTTCCAGTCAGGGCACACGCACAGATTGTGGATTCAGTCCTGGTCAGGGTATGAATAAGGCAACCCACCTATGATGTTTCTCTCCCTGTCTTTCTCCTTCCTTTCTCCTCTCTCTAGAATCAAAGAGCATGTCCTTGGGTGAGGTCTCATGTCCTTCTAAGCTTTAACTTGGTACTATTTTTAACAACTAAGTATTTCTTCATGGTTAGCTACTAATGTTACTTTTGTAGATATTTCTCCTATTGGCTACAACAAGGCTCTATAAACTTATTTTATAAGCCACATATACTTATAGTCCTAATTTTAGCTGAACAGATACCTGACACAGTATAAAGATGCAATTGTCTTATTTATATGGTTAAAAATGATTTTGGAAGTTATTCATTTTGCTGTCTTATGAAAACAGCATTAATAGAATAATACTTGTAAGTATGCCTTAAACTTCCTACACAGCTGCCATTAGACCTGAATTGATAGTAAATGCATTAAATAACAAAATAAAAAAAATTAACCCTCTCTATTAAACAATTCCTTCCTTTTTAACAAAGTAACACAATACCATGTTATTTTAATTTCAGGTATTACTCTATAACCAAATGACAGTTTGAGCACATTTTCCGGATGTGTTCCTAAGCTATCCTGAAAAACTCTATGATGAAAATATATTTTACATCATGACTCAATATAGAATACTAAAATTACCTATATACACGCTTTTATTTACAATGCAATATAATACTTTATATTCCTGTTTCACTTTTTTAAAAATGCTGGTTGCATGATTTCATGATCAAATGTTGGGTCCTGCTGTTTGAAAAACACTCTTCCAGACTACTGTGAAGACCAGCTAATATTCTAAGTGTATACAGCCATTTCCTATTTAATTTTCTCAGAGTTTTATATTTTTCTCTAATTCAAAATACACACCTCAGCAGATCTTTATGCTGGGCTCCAGGTGACTGTCTGGGTAATTTAGGTGATGATTCTTCCAACAAACAATCATTTATTCCAACATTGTTAGTGTTGGGTAATGTATGTTTTTTGGCTTTTTGGAAACCCCCTGCAGATTTAAAACCCAATGTGAGCATAACAGAAATATAAGTAGAAACTTTTTAATAATATACATTTGAATAAGAACATCTTTATTCAAAAATTACAAAATAATTACCTGAATTGTAGAGAATACCTCTACATTCCAAACATTCCCAATTTTGTTCCCATGATCGTAGTGAGGAACAGGCTAAATGTGTTCCACTAGAACCACAACACTGACAGCGCTTTATTTCCCATTTGCTAAAAAGATAAAGAGAAGCAGATGTTGATGTTTTGGTGATAACTTAGTCATATTCCAACCACCCACATTGCCACAGGTCTCACTGTCCACCTCACATACACAACCAACCCAAAGGAAGCCAAGTACATTATCTGCTTTGATATATTGCATTATTTTTCCTCAGCATTTTTTCTACTTCATTATTTATGTTTAAATCTCCTTCTCTAAATGTTCTTTTACATATAAACATATATGTGAACACACACATACACAAAGAATATCATGTGAGAAAGAATATGATTAAAGAAGAAAAAAATTTTTCTTTTATATTTGGAGAGGACTATGCTCATAGAGAAATTGCTATGCCAGTGTATCTGATATGGAAGAAGCATTCAGCAAGTATATTACTTTGGCTACATTATTATCTTTCCCATTGAAGATGAGGCATTATTTCCTATAAAAAGCTTGCTCACACATCTCAGGTACTGTGCAGCTTAACAGGACCCAGCCTCACTACCTGGTCCATCTTTGTATTCCCACTCAGCTGCCCCCACCCCATGCTGTGTGATGTGTGCCGGTACATACTCACATTTTCTGTATGGGTGGGGGTGGGATTGTTGGGCCTTGTCTTTGTCTGGTTATGAGTACACTCTCTCTCTATAAAATGGATACATCCCTGAGTGTGTAGGTGAAGGAGATATTTGGATACTCTCCCTCTGGTAAATGTGGGCAAAATTCCCTTTGTGTGAATATGGGTATGTAGCTGTATGTGTCTTGTGTGACCCAGTGACCCCTTCCCCAGATAGTTCTGCCAACTAAGGGTGAAAAGAAAGATGACACCTAACACGAGTGCTTATTATATACCCAGCCCAGTTCTCACTCTTCACATGAAAAGTTTAATCCTCACATTTTAGAAGGTAGGGAAACCAGTTATCTCCTTAAAGAAACCAAGGCATAAAGGAAGAAATAACTTGTTCAATCAAGTTTATCCTGCTAGCAAGTCTCAGAGGGAGACTTTCAACCCAGTTCACTTGCTGCCAGACCCATGCTGCTAACCATTAAACCAAGCTGCTTTCTAGCAAAACTGCCTTCCTGTCACTAGGATGAGGGGGAGAGATTACAAAGAAAGCACTTAGATAGCAGTTATCGTGTGTCCCAGGAGAACGGGCAAGGAATAGTGATCTCAAGTAGCTGCCAGAAAAAAATGGAGTTGGTACCTACTGATGGGTCAGTGGTTTATAGAAAATATTTATACATATATATAAAAGATTATTTATTATTATATATAATATATAAGCATATATTATATATAAATAAAATCAGTTAAATAAAACAGCCTAAAAAGAATTTAGAAAATATTAGTATTAATAAATGCATTACTTCTTAGAACTCTAAAGTGCTTTTATTATTTGTGTTACCTCATCTGTGCCTCAGCACAACCCTTGAGAAAGGTAATGTTACTGAACATTCAGAGACACCATATTAAGTTATATAAATGCACATTACTCAACATCTTCAAAGATCTCTCTGTCCCTATAGAATTTTTAGTCTAACAACAAAGACAAATTTAAATAATGCAATTATATTATAATAAGCATAGTGAAGGGAAAACCCAGCCCAGAATGGGAAATTAGGAGTGCTAACAGCTGCTTAGGAGAAACTTCCAAAGCTACTTAGACCTCAGCTGAGTCTTTGCAGGTAAGCCCCACTTTCCATGAGGAGCAAGGCTGCTAATATCCTGCTCTGTACCCTAAGTTTCACCTTGCCGTGTTCAAATACTTTGTATAAAAAATAAAAATATAATGAAATTCCCTACATAAGTTTCTACAAAACTGGCTTTGTTACTTTTTACTCTGCCTCTTAGAAAAGAGATTGCTGACTTCTAGTATCCAACACAGTATAGTACACACAGAAGGCACAAAATGATTGCTGATTAAGATCAGAGCCAATATCTAACAACATAACAAAAGAGTAATAAATAAATTTCAAATGCAACACACTTTGTATAGTGATCAAAAAGAAATACTGCTAGATTAATCTACTTAAATTAACCTCTAGAATAGGGCCATCCAATACAAGGACAATGCAAATCATATATGTCATTTAAATCTTTCTAGTAACCATACTTAAAAGGTGAAAGAAACAGGTGAAGTGACTTTGTTACCAAAATATTATCATTTTGTTCAACACATAATCAATATAAAATTATTAAGGTATTTTCCATTCTTTTTTCTTACTGTTATAGGCTCTCCAAAATACACCCAGTACCTCGCAATAGGACTGTGTTTGGAGATAGGGCCTTTAAAGAGCTATGAGGTCATGTAGACCCTAATCCAGTATGACTAGACAGACAGAGAAGCACAATCATGCAAATATAAAGCTAAAAGAGAGAAATGTGCAAGCAATGGACAGGGTTCAGAAGAAGTCAAATCTGTGGATACCTTTATCTTGGTCTTCTAGCCTCTAGGATTGGGAGAAAACAAATTTCTATTGTTTAAGCAACCCAGTTCGTGGCATTTTGTTATGGCAGCCCTAGCAAACTAAGATACACACTAAGTCTTCAGTGTTCAATAAAACCACATGTGCCTAGTGGCTCTATATAGGACCAGTGCAGCACTAGAAAATAGAGCTTCAGGAAAATGTACCAAGGAAATGAGTTGCAATTATGCTGCATGCAATAATCTTTCTGTAAACAGATGTAAATATACATTTAATCAATATACCTCATCTCGCTAAAACTTCAAACATCCTAAAAGCAAACACATTTTACTAACTATAATTTTGCTTACTGCTGAAGGTTTCAATAAGAACACTAATTAAGCAGAAGTGAACTTGCCGATATACCTATTAGGTACATTATAGTCTCTCCCTTCCTTGCAACGACATCTTCGTACATCACAATGCTCATAGTGCTGCAGAAGCTCTTGATAAGCATTTTCCTCTAACTCCCAAGACGCATCTCTGTAAGTGAAGTAACATATTAAATATACTTTGACCTACGATGTTACATAAAAGGATTAATAATGAACCTAAAAATAAAAACTTTTTGCATACTTAGGAACGAGGATAAACTTGTTCTTTTTAGAATTAATCATTCTCTTCAAGATATAAATCCATTAGTGTCATTTTATCCTACACTTAATTAGTCTCAGTGAATTTTCAAATGCTAAATGAAAAATTAAGCAGAAATGTTCCTAAATGTACATTTTTAACATTTTACTGCCATTTTTTAAATTTCAAGTTTACTAACATTATTTCTGGATTCTTCATATTTAAGTATTAAGAAAATTCTTCTCAGACATTTTATTTATTTATTTTTTATTGTTGACACGACTACGAGATCTCCTACTTTCCTCCCCTCTGCCTACCTCCACCCTGCCCTCACCCCCCTCCCCTGGCCTTCACCGCATTATTGGCATTATTGTCTGTGTCCATGGGCTATGCAAATGTGTTCTCCGACTAATCGCTTCACCTTCTTCTATCCAGCTCCTGCCCCACTGCTCTGAGATCTGTCAGTCTCTTCTCATACATTTAAAATCGTACCTTAATTCTCTTAACTAATACATACCATTTTGAAGCTTACAGTATTTGTGTATAAATCAATTAATACTAATCAACTAACAACTAAGGTGTTTATTAAGAGACTATAAATCAACTATCGAGACATTTAAGTCACAGTCCCTGCTCTTAAGAACTAGAAATCTGGGGAGAAGGAGGCAGTGGCAGGAGTGGCTTTACATTTCCCCGTTTGAAATGTCTGCTTGTCCATCATCACATAATCAGACATAAATGGCTATTTCCAGTTATTAAATTCTACATTTAAAATACCTTTTGTCAAAGGGCTATGTTACTTACTTTTCAGGAATATGAATTCCCATTTTCAACATCTCTTTCTGAAACATGTCACTATTATTGCATATTGTGCACCTAAAGAAAAACACTCCTGCATTTATTGCTTGAACCTATAGTAAAAAACAGAAAATATTTTTGTTCATGATAAAACCTATCATGAACTTTATAGCTAACAGAATGTGCTATTTTTCACTTAATATATTATGAAATTTTATTTTGTGTGTCAATGGTTTTCAACACTGATATCGCACTGCTAAGTTATCCCACTGCTAAAATTTGGAGTCTTTTTTCCCAGTGGTCAAAACAATTAAGCTAATGAATTGACTGTTCTTAGCTTTACTATATATCCACCCATATATTCTTCTCAAACCTTTGGTGTCTAATATAATTTATGTTCCTAAATACTATGTTGCCCACACCTCTATAACTAAAATAGTAAAAATCTTGAGTTACTTCACCTAGAAAAGATGTTTAAGTGTTACATAAAAAGCACCCTTGAAAAAAGTGGTACTTAAAAGCACCACTCTATTTCTAACTCAATCTGTTAAGTTTTCTTCCTAAGAGTGGAGAAGTATAAAACCCATTCTCACTCTTTAGCAAATCCCAGGACAGAAGCAGCAGGCAGAAGGCATGCAGGAGGAAAAAGAAAACTATGACCCTAACAAAAAAAGTAGCCAATATTTAGGAAAATAAAAATAGTAGCACACATTCATTTAACAAATATTTAACCCCTTCTATATAGGTGCCAAACACTATGCTATGTACCAAAAAATAGAAATATAAAATGACTTGGATTTTACTTCCAAAAAGAAAAAGTTTTAAGTATATACTTGGGAGAGGAAGAAGTACCTCAGTCTATATACGAGTGTGACAAAAATGTCACAGGGATGGTAAAATCAAAGCTAATTTTGGAAGAAGATACAGGGGTCTGTCAGGAAAATGGGACAGAAGACATTACAAAAGTGGAAAATTGCATATATTAAGTCTCAGTGGTGACAGAAAGTACATGTGATTAGAAAACTAGTTAACAGTATACTTAGGAATTACATGCTGGCCATACTGAACTAAGTAATGAGGCTAAACAGTAAATCAAAGCCAGCAGTGTGAAGAAATCATAGGAAATAAGGCATGCAAGAGAAATCTAGTTAAAGAAATAAAAAGTGCCTGAAGTTAATCCACATAGAAGGCGGAGAACAGCAACAACATAGGATGCCCAAAAATATATATTAGGAAGACCTGACAGAATTAGGAATGCTTTGTGCTTGGTGAAGAAAGAAGTGAATGAAGAGGAATCCAGGTTCAAACAAGTAGCAAGTGTCTCTCTCTCTCTCTCTCTCTCTCTCTCTCTCTCTCTCACACACACACACACACACACACACACACACCCCCACCCACCCACCCACCCATGTGGTGAGAAAGTAACAAGTTACTGAAATCTTTGAACCAAAGGGTCTGCAAGCAATTGTAACAGATACCAAGGTCTTAGTAAACATAAATATAATTTGAGAAAGTGTCTAGTGTGGAGGAAAAGAAAACCACAGAACATATGGAAGGTATCAACAAGACCAGAGCAATGATGGAGAAATCCAAACAAATCAAGAATAGTGACAATTCTATACATACCCAGAGTGAAAAGTTTCCATCATTTTTTTGTTAACCTATAATCTCTTCTCAAACAATCCCAATGTACCATTTGTAGTGATAAAAACAATGAAATCTGCTTAACCACATATAAACTGTACCCTCTGGATCCTTTTACAAACACTTTTTTGTAAGAATTGATAGAATCTCTAATGTTGACCCAACAAAACAGTGTCTCCATCCTGCCACTTTTCACTGAATAGTCCTAAATATAAATGTTAAAGCTCATACAAAATAACTAAAAGTAATCAGTTAAGCTTTACTACTTTGACTACTGTTAGTACTTTGAAGAATATTGAAATATAACAGGGTTTACAGTATCTCCTAACTTTAAAAAATACTTTTGTGGATCATCTGTAATCAGTAGTAATGTTTTGTTTTAGTAAACAACAATAAAAGACAATCTTTAAAAATCAGTATTAAACTTAAGTAAATGATTTGTTATTTGGCATTCTATTAATTGTAACTGTCTAACAGCTGGCACTTTCATACATGTATACTACATATTTGATGTTATTAATAACCAGTATCTTTAATTTTCAAATATCTTCTGAATAAAATAATATTAAATTGTTTAATGTCAGGTTTTATGTTACTTCATTTACTTGAAAACTTGTCATCAGGTTTGATGTACAAGAAAAAATGCCTTTAACATTTAAATATCTTAGCTTACAGTTAAATGGTCATTTCACTTATCTTGATTTTTCTAAGCTTAAATATGTAAATAACTTGGGAATTAAAATCTGCTTTTTATTCATTGTGAAATACAAACAAAATCCTCAAGTAAGTATACATTAAAAGTAGTATCTAAAGTATTAAAATATTGTACACTTCTAAAGGATAAATTTTATAGGTAAAATATGCTTCAATAAAGCTGTTTTTACAAGTTACATGTAGTGTTAGCTAAAATACACATTAACTCTTTCCAATTTTAAATTCAAATCAGCAAGCTACAAATTTTATATCAGAAAACATTTATAAAACATCTTACCTGTACACAGTCTCTATGAAACCAAGCATTCTTACAACAAGGACTTCGTAATATATTATAAGTTGGAGTAGGCTCAATAAATTCCAAACAAATGGTGCATGGAACAGAGTCTCTATAATTATTAGGTGTAATTATTTGAACAGGCCGATGGGTCCAACAAAATGATCTAAAAATGTAAATTATTTAAAAGCAACATCTAATAAATTACACAGCACAACCAGGCTAGCATTACAACTCACATTATAAGAGAAAAATTATTCACATCTCTCTAATAACTAGTGTACATTAGACTAGAACCTTAGTACTATAAATCAGTTTCAAAACCTATGACCACGGTGAATTGAACTTTCCAAATACAAACCTTTTGTGGTAAGACTTACCTCACAGAATTTCAATAACTAATATTATGTTGAGGATCCCATGTAATATTTATTGTTAGCAACAGAACATACACATCATTTTATTTAACATGGTACAAAATTAAAGGAACTTAAAATTTAAATATTAAATCATTTAACAAGTAAAATGCAAATAACTTATTCCTAACCCACTAAATTTATTTGCATTTGTATTATCGAAACTGTAGTTTTTGTACATAGTAAAAATTTATTAACTTGGTCAAGAATACAAAGACTAAAAGAAATACAACACTCATGATACCCAATTATCAAAATCCGTAAAATTTTGATGTTTAAAGCTGCATTCAGGAAACAATATTTTCAGGAGCATCCAGGGCATGATATTCATTTTTTGGACCCCACCGAATTTCTACACCTTCAATTTACTCAAAGAGAAATAAATATACTCTGTGAAAGAAAACTGTACAATTTTATCTGAAGAATAATATAAAAATCTAGAATTACACAAGGTGCAAATTTTCATAGTCTTTGAATACACATCGACAGTTCCATATTTTATTCCAGAGCTGAAAGCTGAAGGTATAAATAAGCCCATTTCAGACAGGGCGATTCTTAAGACTGAAGATATAAATGACTCCATATATATTCCCTCTCTATGTATTTACACACTATATACATAAAGTGTATAAATTCAGTGCAGCTTCGAAAAAAAATTTTAACAAAAAATTTTACCATCGGAATACCCATATCCCTTATGCACTTTTCTTTAAACATTATCTCTCATATTCAACAGTTAACTTACGCAAAATTTCCAGTGAATTGAAAAATACATTCCCTCTGAAGTCCACACGGGAAATGGTAACTTCGTTTACATCGAGGTGCAACACATCCAATTGAAGCACCATTTTTCTTGCAAACACAGCATTTCTAAAAGAAAATAAGGAAATAGGGGTCATAACATAGAAAATTTGAGCATAATGATATGACTTAGATATAAATGAATATTCCTTTTGTGGAGTCTGAAAATTATTTTCATCATACAACAGCTGTGATGATGGTGTATTAAAGAGATTTCCTGAGAAAACTGTTCTACCCAGAAACAACCTGAAGACACTAAAGATTTACTCATACAACAATTTCTGATATAGGGAACATTTGTAACCTAACATGTGAATGAGAAAGAGAAGCTTCTTTTCCTTCCTACTTGCAAAAACAAACAGAAAGGTTTATAAACATAATGGCTATACATGAAAATCTCATTCAAATCTCAATAGAAAATACATAATATTCACTAAGGAGAACAGTAAAAGAATACTAAAAACCAATCTGTAGAAAAATTGGCTAGGATTACTTTATCCTAACCAAATGAAAAAGTGTTAGATACTTATAGTAAATTAGTGAGCCCTAAAAAGACATGTTCAAGTCTTAACTCCTGGTACCAGTATGAATGATACCTTATTCGGAAATAGGGTGTTTATAAATATAAATGTGATCTCAAGATGAGATTATCCTGGATTTAGAGTGCTTTCTAAATCAAATGACTGGTGTCTTTGGAAGTGAAAGGAGAGGGAGATTTAAGGCAGAGATGCACAGAGGACCAGGCCACATGAAGATGGAAGTACAGACTTAAGTTATGCTGCCACAAAAGGAGGAATGGAAAGGTTGTCAGCAGCCACCAAAATTTTAGAGAGAAGTATGGAATGGATTTTCCCTCAGAGCTTCCAAGAAGAATCAGTTCTTCTGACAGCATGATTTGGAACTTCTGGTCTCCAGAATTGTGAGAATAAATTTCTGTTTTAAGCAACCTAGTCTGTGATAATTATTATGACACTCTAGGAAAGAAACAATACCATTGCCAATAACTGGAATACAAAAGTAGTATACAATCAGAAAGACTATTTGATGAGTCAATCATTACTAAAGTACACAGCAGTACCTAAAACACCTTGGAATCCTTGAGATGACCATTATAATTGTCACTGATGAAGAGATTCTACAGTGCTAATGCTAATCCCTCAAGCACCACCAAGTCATAACTGAATACTTTGCCAGCTGGATGCCTTCCCAGTAAAATGATATACAGAATTCTAGTTTAAGGCCACAAATGGAAACACATCTTCAGGATCAGGATATTTTCAAAGGTTCACAATACAGTATGCTCAAGAGAGAATTCATATGTTTTAAGAAAACAGGTATTTCCAAATTGTAAGGGGACTTGTAGAGGCCATCTTTCATGAGTTCACTATCATCAGGAGGTTGAGGAACTTTGAAACTAACATTCACATGTGGCCCCAAGATAAATGCCACCAATAAACTTTCCCAAGGTTTTCCCTTATGTTCTAGAGCCTCTATTTTATCATGAAGTCCTTTGCATCCTCAACATCTTAAAAAATAATTGCCTCCATTTCTTTGCCTCACCTAAAATAGGGAACACACAGAACATTATTTTAATTATCTGTTGCAGATTGTAGGCCCCTACTCTAGCTTCATATTTAATCTTCTCATTCTCTTTCATCATTTCTACTCAGACCACACAGAAACCTACAGCCCTTTCCTTGTGCATAATCTAGTAGCTATCACATAGAAGACTCACAAATTACAATTAATAAATGAGGAATTAAAAGTTTAGAATACTTATCTTGGAGAAAGCACTGAACACAAGCAGGCAATGTCACAGAAGGGCCACAAGACTTGTGGAGATCATAAATAATTGGTCTACATAGTTGTGTAATTTTTACCTCAAACAATCATTCCAAACCAGAAACTGAGGTATAAGAATGAAAAGTGAATGGCTGGATTGACTCAGGTTTGAAGAACAGCAGGGTGGAAGTACATATGTTCATAATTCTGATGGCGAGTGAGTAAAATGGCCCTAGCTGGGTGGCTCAGTTGGTTAGAGTGCCATGCTCATACACCAAGTTGTGGGTTTGATCCTCAGTCAGGGCACAAAGAATCAACAAATAAATAGCAGGATACAAAGTCAATATTCAGAAATCAAAGGCATTTTTGTAAACCAACAATGAAACATCAGAAGAAGAAATAAGGAAAAAAATCCCACTTGATATAGCAACAAGAAAAATAAAATACCTAGAAATAAACCTAACTAAGGAGGTGAAAGATCTGTATACAGAAAACTACACAAAACTGAAGAAAGAAATTAATGAAGAGACAGACAAATGGAAATATATACCATGTTCATGGATAGGAAAAATGAACATCATCAAAATATCCATACAACCCAAAGCAATTTATAGATTAAATGCAATACCTATTAAAGTACCAGTGGCATATTTCACAGATATAGAACAAACACTTCAAAAATTTATGTGGAACCATATGACCCCAAATAGCTGCAGCAATTTTGAGAAAGAAGAACAAAGTAGGAGCAATCACAATACCTGATATCAAACTGCATTACAATGCCACTGTAATCAAAACAGCCTGGTACTAGCATAAAAACAGGCACATAGACCAATGGAACAGAACTGAGAGCCCAGAAATAAACCCTAGTCTCTATGGTCAATTAATATTTGACAAAGGGGGCAGCAGCATAAAATGGAGCGAAAATAGCCTCTTTAGCAAATGGTGTTGGGAGAGCTAGACAGCTACATGCAAAAAAATGAAACTTGACCACCAACTTACACCATACACAGAAAAAAAAATTCAAGGTGGATAAAAGATTTAAATATAAGTTGTGACACCATTAAATTCATAGAAGAGAACATAGAAAAATCTCAGATATCTTATATAGCAATATTTTAACTGATTATGTCCCCTAGAGACATAAGGAAAGAATAAACAAATGGGATCTCATCAAAATTAAAAGCTTCTGCATGGCTAAAGAAAACAGCATTAAATGAAAAAAGAACCAACCATATGGGAAAACCTATTTGCCAATAATACCTCAGACAAAAGTTTGATCTCCAAAATATATCAAGAACTCACATGACTCCACTCTAAGAAGACAAGCAACCCAATTAAAAAATGGGCAAAGAATTTAAACACACTTCTCCAAGGAGGACATACAGAGGATCCAGAGACACATGAAAAGATGCTCAATATCGCTAGCTATCAGAGAGATGCAAATTAAAACCACAATGAGATACCACTTCACACCGGTCAGAATGGCCACCATAAACAAAGCAACAAACAACGAGTGCTGGTGAGGGTGTGGAGAAAAGGGAACCCTAGTGCACTGTTGGTGGGATTGCAGACTTGTACAACCACTATGAAAAACAGTATGAAATTTCCTCAGAAAACTAAAAATGGAACTGCCTTTTGACCTAGCAATTCCACTGCTAGGATTATATCCTAAGAACCCTGAAACACCAATCCAAAAGAACCTATGTACCCCAATGTTCATAGCAGCACAATTTACAATAGCCAAGCGCTGGAAGTAACCTAGGTGTCCACCAATAGATGAATGGGTCAAAAAGACTATGGTAGATTTACACAATGGAATTCCATGCAACAGAAAGAAAGAAGGAGCTCCTACCCTTTGCCACAACAGGGCTGGAACTGGAGAGCATTATGTTAAAAGCCAGGCGGTGAAAGACAAATACCACAGAATCTCACCTTTAACAGGAACCTAATTAACAAAACAAATAAGCAAGCAAAATATAACCAAAGACACTGAAATTGAGAATGGGCTGAGAGTGACCAGAGGGGACAGGGGAGAGAGTTACAGGGGAAAAGGGTGAAGGGTTTGCAGGAAGAATTATAAAGGACACTGTACAATAACAAGAGAAGGTGGAAACAGGGGAGGCTGGTGGGAAGGGTTGGGGTGCTGGGGAAAAGTGGAGGGGAAAGGCAGAAAACTGTACTTGAACAACAAAAAATGTTAAAAAAAATCAACCAATAAATGCATAAATAAGTGGACCAACAAATTGATCTCTCTCTCTCTCTCAAATAAATAAATAAAATTTTAAATTACGAGTGGGTAAAACTATGGGTTAGTTGGACTAAGATAAGGAAGTAAAATCAACATTGTCACATATATTATCCGGGGGCAGTTGAACTCCCTGTTATTTGCAAGAATACAAATGTTCTAAAATTCACCGTATTTGACAAAAGTAAGCACTGGAACATAAAATCAAAGTCTTACAAATTTCTAGTGGAGAAACAGATGAGTAAGACTTTCCTTCTATTGACAATATTTATGGTATTTACTGTAATGAGTAAAATAATTTACTTACCAGTTTGGAAGCTCTATTCACTTCTTTCCTTATATCTTCTACTAGAAAACCATAAACTCCTTCTTCTTCTTTACCTCTCTGCCAAATTCCACTTGACATCAACTATGAATATATTCTCAGTTAGAAAATAAACTCTAAAAAACTAGTTTGGAATAAATATATATCTAATATTTTAATAAAAGTAAACATAAATTTTAAGCATCTCCTAACTTTGTTATTTTTCATGATCAAAGTAAGAAGCTACTCACATTGTTTTATTTGAAAGACATTGTATATTAATAGTTCATATAACCAAGTTATATGAACTTGGCACATTTACAGGGAAACCTATTATAATTAACAAATGTTCACTTTTTTTTTAGATTTTATTTATTTATCTTTAGAGAGGAAGGGAAGGAGAGAAGGAGAGAAACATCAATGTGTGGTTGCCTCTCATGAGTCCTCTGCTGGGAACTAGCCTGCAACCCAGGCATGTGCCCTGACTGGGAATCGAACCCCGATCCTGTGGTTCACAGGCCCGTGCTCAACCCACTGAGCTATGCCAGCCAGGGCAACAAATGTTCACATTTAAAAAATCTGATTTAAGTATATTAAAGGAGCATGAAACAAGAAAAAGCATGGGACTGTGAATAAGAAACCCTGGCTTGCAAACCAGGCTCCGTGTCCAACCTTCTGGACCCCTAGGCAAGTAATTTAATGTCTGACTTTAAACCTAAAAATAAAAAAACACGGCTAGATTGCATTCTCTTAAGTCTCTTTCAGCTCTAATATTTGTTGCCATTGGTAATATTACTATACTTTTCTGTTCACAATGAAATAGAATATTGCCTAGGGTCAGTATCTTTTTGAATATATTAAATAATTCAAAAATATATTAAATAATTTTAAAACACTTCAAGTATGTGATTAAAGAGGCTTATTTCAATCAGTATAATATATCCTAAAGAAAAATAAGTGATATACATTACTTAAAAATTAACTATGAAAAAAACCACCCTAACAAATAAGGTAGTTCTCCTAATTCTACCACATAATAAGTGAAATAGCCCCAGCTGGTGTGGCTCATCACACCAGTTGCTTGGTCATCATCTCACAAACTGAAAGGTCACCAGTTTGATTCCCAGTGGGTTGCAGGTTTGGTCCTTTGGGGCATGGACAGAAGGCAACCAATTGATATTTCTCTCTCACATTGATGTTTCTCACTCTCTCTTTTTCCCTTCATTCATCTCTCTCTAAAATCAAAACTAAAATAATTTTTAATATAACTGAGATAAACTCTTAGAAAAATGAAATAAGTTTTCTTGTGTGATGCAAAATAACCCCAACTTACAAATACACCTTGAATGCCAACTTCATGTTCCCTGAAGTATTGCTACAATTACATTCTTAGACCATCTAAGAGTCTATTTAACTGACACATAAAACTGTAGTCTCAGAGAGACACCAAGGAATAAGTTAGATGTTTTCTCAAGGAAGCATCTAAAGAGTTTTAGCAATGGACACTGTGGTGGGTACAAAAATATGTCCATAAATTTGTTGATACTCCTTTTTTTACGATTTGGGACCTGATCCCTTCCCCTTAAGGGTGGGCTAGACTTAAAGACTTCGCTTTTAATAATTAGCATAAAACAAAAGTGACAGTGGTATGTGACTGTGAAGACTTGGTCATATGATCCCATATTGGTGTATCCAGTTATCCCTCTCTTTCTTTTTTATCAGTTGCTCTGGGAGATGCCAAAGTCTATGCTATGGACAACACAACAGAGGTACCCAGAAAATAAGAACTTAAGACACAAATTCAGTGAGAGGAGAAGTTGGTAGAGGGAAGGGGAAACAAATTAAAAACTAATTTTCAGTATGAAATCACTTTTTTTTTCTTTTGAGTTACCCACCATAAATTAACCTATTTCCCTTTCTACAAATATGTATTGCCTTTAGTCAGAACCCTTCTTTCCAGAGTCTCTGTGAAATAAAATGCTTTTCTTCTACTCCCTCAACCCACAAACAAGTCTTTTATGAGATTTATCACTAGCAACAATGAAAACAAGAAAGTGGTAAAAAGAATAACTTTAGAGACCAAACCATTTTTTTCAGTTAGGCCCTAAAGAGTTAGACCAAAATAAATAGGTAATAATGACAGGTCTTTATATGTGCCAAGTAATTTCAGAATCTTAGAATCTGACAAATGACAATCTTATTTTTATATATAGGCAAAATGAGATCTAGGGAAGTTAAATGATTATCAGATAACAGTCATCAACGTCTAATTCTCTTCTTTAAAACAATATCAAATTTCTGAGATTTAATTATAAATTATACTCACCAAACAATAGTAATGCACAGTGAGATTCCATTTCTCATTAGTTTTCTTTTCTCCATACTTATTAGGACAGTCATCATTTTTTCGGCAGAAAACACAAACTAACAGTGAAAAAGTAAATAGTTATGAAAATATTTTTTAAATTCAAAATAAAATCTATGAAATTAGTTCTTTCCTCAAATGATGTGTTCAATTCTTTCTGTGTGAGCAGATCACATTATATTGTTATCAGTAACTTAAAATTTCCAACACTTACACCTAAAATAACATGACTTCATATTTTATTCATTAATTTATAATGTGAATTTAATGATTAGCGTGTAGTTAAAATGGCAACTTGCAGAGTAACATCACTGAAAACAATGGATTAGGAGTTTTTAAAACTCTATTAAAGCAACAAACTGAAAAACCATCAGAACAAATTTTTCGGAAACTTTGAAATCTAACTAGAAAACTTACAACAATTAGGATGCTTAACAAAGAAACAAGTCGCTATAGAAACAAGTTGCTTTGACGAGAGCTTCATAGCATTTTAACTTACCTACCTAGTCCCCCCCACCCCGCCTCCCTGCCAATCTCCAACTAGGCAATGGCCTTAGGTATGATGGTTCATGTTCCTGGTGTGGACTGTCCAAGAGGAGGTAACATGGACTTCGTTCTCAAAGAAATGTGACCATTTTGACCTGTGTGGTGGCTGAGGTATGTGCTCAGTTGCTTGCCCTTGTTTTGCCTGCATCAGAACTTGGTCAGGGCTAGAGTCTGACCATCTGACAAAAGCATTAAAGACAAATATACCAGCTGCAGCAGCTTGAAGCAAAGGCTAACAGAGGGCAAGCAGGTGACAGAGTAAAAGCAGACTGGTGGTTCCCAGTGGCTGAGGGCAGGGGAAATGAGAAGTGACTACCTAATGGGTACAGAGTTTCCTTTGATGATTATGAAAACATTTTGGAACTCGTTGTACAACTAGTTGTAACTAAATATACTAAATGTCACCAAATTATACACTTCAAAATAGATAAAATAGTAAATTTTATATTATGTGCTTTTTACCATAATAGTAATAATTTTAGAAAGAAGTTTGAGAAGCTCAGCTCTAAACCAGAGCTGTTTTAAAGTATGGCGATCTGCTCATTCATGCTCTCCTGTGCATTGTTTCTGGCTCCTGAGGTAGTCTGGACAGAAATTGGTCCCAGAAGGGCCATACTGAACCTTCCTTATGACTAGTTTATGCCTTATTGGACTTCATCACTATCCAAGCCACATGCAGAAGAGCCTTATACACACCAAGTTTGCTGATGGAAGTATGCAAATAATGCTTCATAGCCATGAACTACTACTATAGTCAATAACACAGAGGAATTTCATAAACCTAAGGATGAGTGAAAGACTTAAGGTCAGATAATTAGTCTTGGGGAGGAGCAACAATAACAAGGACAACTTCTGGGTGCTGTTGCTATTCCACTTATTGTTCTGGATGGTGGTTATGCAGGATGATACTAATTATTACCCTGAGAAGTTTGTGATTTATTTTGGGAGCAAAGAGTTTTCATTGACTAATGAAAACTTCTGACTTGGCAGTGATGTGACGAAAGATGTGTTCAGAGAAGATAATTCTGGAAATAAAAAGCCTAGGCATTGTGTTCAAGAAAGGTGAAAGTGCCCACAGGAATCTAGAGCAACCGAGACAAAAGAGACCCACGAATGGCCAAAAAAGAAAGGAAGAAGATGGTGAATCTTAAGATGGTGCTGCTGCCAAGCCTTATTATCAATGTGTCTTGACAATAACAGCCTTATCCAAATTTCCAAGTACCTCACTTGAAAAGGTCTCAAAATAAAGCAAAATTGTTCTGTGACACTATTGGAAGTAAGAGTGACCAAAATCTTGCTATGTCCATACGAGGTCCTGTAATCTTTCATATGTATGACTGGATAAAATATGAGCTAAAGTTAATAACTATATCATTACACTACATTTCTCAAATGTATATGCAATGTTTTTTTTTAATATAATGAGATACCAGACACCTATCAGCAATGATGGGTGGAAAAAAATTGAGAATTTCATATTCTCAGTGAGCTACATATAGGTCACCAGACTACAAGCAATTCAGAGAAGCTCCAAAACCCAACATCTATATTTCCATCATCACATATACTTAAACCACTGTGATGATGCTGTCATTCTCCTTTGTCAGACTGAGGCAAGATGGCACACTCTATATAAAGCAATAAGCCTCCAACATCCCTGTTCACATCCCTTTAAAACAATGATTAAGTATCTTTTTTATAGTCCCCAGTGAATTTGAGAATTGCTTTCAGCAAGAACTCTTAATGAGAGCTGCAGGTTCTTCAGGTGGCCCATGTCAGGAACACAAACTGACACTGCATATAGTGAGCAGCAGAGCATCCACAGAGCCTCCCAGGTGCATTTCCCCAAGGCTGAAAGGATCCATCTGTACCAGCTTAAAATCCTGCCTCTCTTACTCACCAATTAGCATGTCCCTCAACCACATCAATTCCTTTCCTATGAAGTCAGATTAATATTATACACAAGTCAACAGCACTCTGAGAAATGTTCAGCTCTTTTCTTTACCTCTGAATACAGATCCCAGTCAACGTAGACTACAAACAGAACAGGAAATATAACCAACTATAAGCAATATGTAAATTAGCACTAGCCCTTAATTACTGGGCCACACAGATGCGCACTGACATTTCTGGCTTCTATGAGCAGGACCAGAGAAGAATTGGGGGGAAGACGGTGTGATGGGAAGAAACAGGCACTGCCCAAGCATGAGGTGTCCTCCCTTTCCTCTCTTCTCTTTGTCTGGCTCCTCCACAGGCTTTCAACTTTCAAGATGAATTCTCCCAAGATCACCTTAACCCAAATGTCTCACACTGCTCCTTGAATTCATAGCAACTCTAAGAGCAAAATCCTCCTCCATGATTTTCTTATAGTGCTGCTTCATTTATTGTGCATGTATGACTTTCACTACCATAAGGTCAAGAATGTGTAAGATCTTTAGGTCACCATCTACATTTCTTCCAATGCACAGTACTGGGAACGTACCAGGTTTTTAATAAATATTAGTGAGATGAATAAAACCTTAATAATAATAATAATATTAAAAAGGCAATTGTAGAGTCAGGGAGGTGTGAGTTAAGACTCAGCTCTACACTCTCACTGTAACCTTGGACAGGTCACATAAACAAACACTTTATGGCTCTGTTTCCTCTTAAAAATGAGGACAACACTACCTACCTCAAACTGTGTCTTAATGAGATTGAGATAATATATAGTAATATAATTTAAAGGGTATGGCACAAAAACAGAAACGAGTAAATGTCAGTATTATAACTATCAACCTTTCCTATCCTGCAATGTTTATGTGCACAGAAAATTTCTAATAACATACTAATAAAACAATGAGAAAATCACTAGCTGAAGAGAAAAGACTGAGGATCTCAAGGTGGAAGATCAGCACAAGATGAAGGAGCCTGAACCTCTAAATGACTGCGTGGAACAGACACTCCCTATCTGTCTCATCTCCCCTAACTAATCCACACTGGACTGTAACATGAACACATAAACTTTTATTGTGTTAAACTATTAAAACTTCAGGGTTTACCTATGACAGCAGCTTGCCTTATTTATTTTAACTAATCAAGAATAGATGTTATGTGCAGTCAGGGCACATGCCTGGGATTCAGGCCAGTTCCCCACAGAGGACGCATGAGAGGCAACCATACATTGATATTTCTCTCCCATTCTTTCTCCTTCCCTTCCCCTCTCTCGAAAATAAATAAATAAAATATTAAAAAAAAAAGAATAGATGTTATGTGTTACAAAGGTGCTATATATTTGTTAACAGGCTAGTCACAAAATAGTCCCAGAACTGGACAAACCTCCATGAGCTAAAATTTAATACTCCCCGTTATTTACCATCCTCACTCAAGTTTAATGAAATAAGCCATAAATGAAAGCCCTTTCCTCCAACCTTCTGAGTTCAGCTCCCCTGCCTTCCCCATATAAAATAATTGACCACATTAACTCCAGCAAATTGCCCTTTGTTTATTGGATATCTTACACCAGCAGCTCCCACTTTAATGTCTTCATCACCAGTGCCTATACTTTTATGTAAGTGCGCATCAAGAGAAAGAGGAATACAAGGAATTAGCTTAGGCTACAGAAGAGAAGTCCTCATGATGTATGCTTGAATGAACCTGAATATGAACCTGAACTGCTATAGACAGTGAGCCTCTGGCTTTCCATGTGTTCCCCTCTGCCCTTCACCCAATATGAAGACCATGAATGCAGGACAGACTAGGTTTCAGGCACTCATTTGATAAGTAGATTACTTTTGTTTTTATTTGTGCTTTCACTTTTTCCTACATCTTAATGTTTAAAATTCAATAAAATTGTTCTGACTTGATTATACTTAAGGTCACCTTCTACACTAGCAAATGATACTGGCTGCATGATAACAATGAAATAAACACATTCACACATATATTTATACATACAAAACTGAGTCAATCTTAGCAAAAATATTAAGTAAATAACAGAATGGGCAGTATTTGCATTTGACAAAGACATAAGATAGTCCATGAATTATTAAGTTTCAGAACTGTTAGCACAGTTGATAGGAGTCTGTAGGTAAAGCTGGGAAAGCAGAGGGAGGTTTAAGAACACAAATTTCCTTATCTAACATGATGTAGAGTCAACAGATGATCTCTATAAGTGATATGCAAAGTATAGAGTTTTAAGTGTAATACTTTGAGAGGGAATAAAAATAAATCTTAAAAAGGGTAGATTAGAGGAGAAGCAGTGGCAGAAGAGTATAAAGTAACAGTTTAAATTTCTCATTTTCTATGGTAGCAAATCAATAAATAGTTTCAATTCAATATATAAATGAAAACAACTACAAACAAAGGTCTGTATCTATTTGAGACTATTGTGATCATTCAGAGGTAATGTTTCTTATTTGTGTTCAACTTCCATGTATTGTTTAAATCATTCTCACCAGCATTTTCTTTTGTAAGAAAAATTATTTACTAAATAAAAATACCATTTTACTCAGATACAAACTACACCTGATAAGTACATATAGATAATACAAATATGGTAAATTATCTTCTTATAGCAGATTTTTGTTGAAATGAATACACACAACATTGTACTTTAGTATACAGATATATGAAGTAAGCATGAATCTGGGGATTCATTTCTATTAAGTGAGCAGAATTCTAAAGAGCTTTATTATAATGAAAAAGTAAGAGTAAAATATCTGAATATTTTAAATTATATTTGAAATATTTTAAATACAGTTACTTACCAAGAGTCTGAGAGTCACCAGGTTTATTTTCATTCATTTTACTAGGAAACATAAGAACATATAATACAGTCATCTTAATTTTAAAAGTCTCAAATTATTCATCTTAAATTTAGTCAATGCATGTTTTCAAATGTTGCATATCATTTTTTACTCTAGTATATGACTTCCTCACTTTTATACAATAAGACCAACAGTTTCCAATAAGGGTCGTAATGTCTGTGGACACTGTTAAAACTGGAGGAAATGAGTCCTAGGCAGGTAGTTTAGTTGGTTAGAGCCAAGGTTGTGGGTTCCATCCCTGGTCAGGGCACATACAAGAATCAACCAATTAATGCATAAATAAGTGGAACAATAAATCAATGTTTCTCTCTTCCTTCCTCTCTAAAATTAACAAATAATTTTTTAATTGGAAGGAATGTTTATTAGTTGTCAAAAGATTAAGATGACTACTTGTATTTAGTGTTAAGAGGCCAGAGTTTTAAGATATCCTGCAATGTACCTACCCAACAGACCTAGACAATAAAGAAGAGTCTAGTCAGGGGTGTCAAACTCATTTTTACTGGGGGCCACATCAGCCTCGTGGCTGCCTTCAAAGGGCCGAATGTAATTTTAGGACTGAATGTAACTACCTCTTAACAGTTAAGCAGGAGCTCGCCGCTGTCACCAGGTAGAAACAAGGTGTCAGGCCGAATAAAACAAGGTGGAAGGGCTGGATTCGGCCTGAAGGCCTTGTCCTTGCCAACTGTTGTCTATCTAGTTGAGCAATTTTCAACCTTTTCAACTCATGTTGAAAAGGTACACATAAACCAATGACTAAAATTCTGTGGCACACCCCAAAAATATATTTTTCCGATCTAAAAAAATAGGATTAATTTTTATTCATTCATCCTACACAGCTATTGTTGTGTTGGCTCTTATTTTTTATTTGACAATTTAAGGAAGAGGTTAGTGCCCCTGACTAAAACTGGTTAGGTATCACACATTTTAAAAATTCTTTCAGCGCACTGGTGCACCACAGCATGCTAGCTGAAGATCTCTGGTCTAGACTTTAGAATTTCCAGTTATACATTCAAGTAGATGAAACAAACAAATAAAACACAACTATTTACAATTACATCAACCTAGAACTTAAGCCCATTTTGCAGACAAAATGACTATTTCCAAACGATAACTCCTATGTAAAGTCAAGGAAATTTCTATTTTATTTTTGTTCATAGCTTTACCAAGACTTGTTCACTGGGAAAAAAACCCACCATAACCAATAGTAATGGCATTCATATTTGAGTAGTCTATACAACCATCATTCATCAGAGTATATCTGTGGCTATCTTATTTGCAGGGATTCTATATAGAATTGCAGCATGACTGCCATATCATATTCTAACGTTAGTACAGTGTTCAACCATTTACATACTGAAGACACCGATCTGCCTGTCTCCTCACTCCTCACTAGTTAATAGAATTATTAATATTTATTACTGAGATATAATTTTTCTGTCTCTAGTGCTAAAAGATCAAATAGAGAAAAAGCAATAGTATCAAATTTCACTTTTTGAAGGATATATGAACAGCCTACTTGAAATGTTATGAGATATATGTTATGAGGTATACATATGTGTTGGCTCTTGGAATTTAAGTTGAAAAGAACAGACATAATGATGCTACTAGGTACCGTAATTAAAATTTGCTTTTACAGCTGCAAAACCAATGCTCAGAGAGATCACAGAGCTTGGAAGTGACAACAGATTAATCTATAACTGAATGACTGTGCCACTTCACATGAAAATAATAAAAGAGCATAATAAATAATAACAGTATTATCACATGAAGGACAAAAAGGCCACAAAGATTACTATCAAATTTTGTCAATGCTTTCTTTTTCTTATAATTTAAAATATATATTTCACACTGATTTTTAAAAATGTTTGAATTTAAAATTGTTTTCCTCATATATCACTTTGGTGTTTTCATAAAAAGTCATAATCTAAGTCTTTTGAATCATTCTGACTCCAAGCTTCAATATATTCAGGCTCTTCCTTACAAAATCATCTGTGCCATCAAGATTGATATTTAAAGAATACATAAAACAACAAAAGTGTCCTGCATGAAGCTGGTTTTGAAATTAAGTGGGTGTAGCCTACCTTTCCCATCCCCATAACCATTATGTAGTGTTAAAGGATACTCCTTAGTATTTCCTGGATGTTTTTTTCTTTTTTAGAGGCATTTATTATACTCCATACAGGCATTTGACAACATTTATGATGTGTATACATACTCGTACAATTGCCTCGCCAAAATTGGATGAGGATCATGATATGTTTTTTTAAGTTTTATTATTAAATATATTAAGGTAACATCAGTTAATAAGATTATGTGTTTCAAGTACTATGTTGGCCAAAAAGTTCATGTGCTTTTTTTCCTCCATAATATGGCTTTAGTAGTGCTTCATTATCTTTAACTTCATTTGAAACAGTTTTGTTAGATTGTTTTGTGACAGCTGTCATAGAAATGTATATTTAAGAAAAAACTTAGTAAGAATCAGTGATTTTTTGTGTAGCCTTTTTAACACTGAAGATGAAAGAAAATGAGCAAAATTTTCAGCATATTATGCTTTACTAGTTCAAGAAAGGTAAAAACTCAACTGAAACACAAAGACTTCTGGAGTGTATGTAGAAGGTGCTGTGACTGATCAAATGAGCCAGAAGTGGTTGTGAAGCTTCCTGCTGGAAATTACTTGTGCTTCACAGTAGAGTAGACCAGTTGAAGTTGATAGCAATCAAATTGAGACATTAACTGAGAACATTATACCACACAGGAGAGAGCCAACATACTCAAAATATACAATCAATAAAATTATTGGTGAAAATAAAAAATATGTATCTTATGTTACAGAAAAAAACTAAATGGACTTTTTGGCCAACCCAATATATAATTCTTTAATACATTATCTATATATTGCATTGTCTGTTCACCACTCTAAGTCACCACATCCTTCTTTCACCCCTCTGTCATTATATACGGGGGTGCAGCAAAAGTAGGTTTACAATTGTATGTGAAACACTGTATTCTTGCATTATTATTTATTAATTATTGTATTGTTTTTCATACAAACAACTGTAAATCTAATTTGGCCACATCCTGTTGCTGCCTTTTCTGCCTCCTCCCAAAGAGCTTGTTTTTTAAACATGCTAAAAAGGGTGAAAGAGTATCAATCTTAAAAATGATGAAATACCATTAAGAGGGAGATAAAAATGCCTTTTTTATAATTCAACATCTGATAATAATTTAGCATATCATAAACCCATTCATATCTAAGAATTTACTACAGAAAATTCCATATACACATGATACCAGTACTTTAATTAGAGTAAACAGAAAATTTTTAACTTATAAATAATGTTTAGCCAGTTCCCAACAACAGGTTTATATTTGGTAGTTAATATCTCTATCTCCTAATTCCTTAACAGCTCATCTCTGTGGGTGAATTGCATCCATCTATTGTTTACTTTTAGATTTACTGCAACTTAGTATAATGATTTAGATCCACAATACAGGTAACTTCAATAAAGATATTTAAAAATCTCTCAATGGCATTAATGCAAACATTAATCACATATTACTTCACATTATACTTATTTCAATTTTGTTAATTCCTCAACTATACTGCTAAATTCCCTGAGGGTAACATCCCCATATAACTCAGCACCGTGGTAATAAGTATTTGCTGAATGTGATTGACAATCATAATACAGATATTGGTATGAGTAGGCAAGATTCTAAACTAAATTTTCATAGTAAAGAAATCATTACATCTTCTGCTATTCTTCCTCTTCCCACCGCAAGAACCCAAGGCATCTCTCTTAGAAGACAATGTGATTAAGCCCTATCTAGATTTTTATAATTACATAGGCAACTATGTTACTTTCAGAAAGGTACCTGAAGATTCTTGTTAATTATCAACCTTAGAACTCTGTACTAAAAATGTGCTTTCTCATATTTACAGATAAATATAAAAGAAAAAACCTGAACATCAATCTCACATGATACACAACAAAAGTAGCTCAACAGGATGTAGAAGACCATGCTGAAAGCCTCCAAATATCACTGGCCACAGCTAATCATAAGAATGATCTCCAGCTCTTTCTAAACAGGAATGGAAAAGGTTTTTCTATGTATGCCAATATCTAATAAGCACTGTATATGGCTTTTCAGTTATTAATACACACTATTACACCAATGGCACAAGTCTAAAAATAAGTCATCACTTTTCTAGTGATCTGATTTTCAACATAGGTGCAAAATCAATTCAATGGGAAAAAGAAGTTTTTTCAACAAATGTTGCTGAAAAACTGGATAGTCTCATGGAAAACAAGTGAACCTGGGTCCACACTTCACACCATACATAAAAATTAATTTCAAGTGGGTCATAAACCTAACTGTAAAAATTAAAACTACAAAAATTTTAAAAGAAAAAGTAATACAGCCCTGATCAGTGTGGTTCCATTGGTTGGACATTGTCCCACAAAGTGAGAGGTTGCCAGTTCAATTCCCAGTTGGGGTATGTGCCTGGGTTGCTGGTTCGGTAATTATTCGAAGTGCAAGGAAGAGGTGACTGACCAATGTTTCTCTCTTGCATCGCTGTTTATCTCCCTCACTTTCTCCCCCTTCCCCCTGTCTCTAAAAATAAATAAAGTCTTGGGGAAAAATAACACATCATATATACTTCATCAAAATAAAACCTTCTACTCATCAAAAGTTACCATTAAGAAAGTGAACATGCATGCCATAGACTCAGAGAAAATATCGGAGAAAGATGTCTGACAAAGACTTGTACTCGAAAAACAAAGAACTCCTACAACTCAATAATATAAAATAATCTAATCAAGAGATGGTCAAAAGATATGAACAGATACTTCATGTAGGAAGACATGCATGGCCAATAAACACATGAAAAGATATTCAACATCTTTGGTAATCAGAATAATAAAATTAAAGATACTATGAAAGATCACTTGATACCCACAAAAATGGCTAAGATTAA